CTTTCATTTTTTGTGCAATCTTTTTAAAATCACTTCCATCAATTGAACCGTTGAATGATGTATAACACTTAGGGCATAAAGCAACCATGTTATCACCTTGTTTCTCAATTGCTAAACCCAATAACTTCTTCTCATGTGCTTTTTCTTCAGCTTTATTCTTTAATTTAGGTTTAAATTTCTCATCAAAACAGAAGAAATCAAATGGTGCGAATTTGAAAATGTTTTTATCATAAAATTGTTTATCGGTAACAATCGCCTGAAATGCTTGAGTGTTAGGAAGATTTGGGTCGCCAGCGATTGCCCAATAAGATGAATCAGTATCACCTTCAATGAAATGAAAACGATTAACATCCATGCATTTATACATAAAATCATAAATGAAAACCAAATACCAGTATTTAGCATTATCTAAAGTGAAGAATGCCTCTTGTAAACATGTATCACATCTATAAAATCTATCTTTAAGCATCACTTGATATGTATCCTCACCTATTTCTCTTATGTTTTTAAACTTATTTGACATACATGCAACGCGTGCCTTCTGTGCATTCATTATTTTAGTCTTTGCGTAATTTTGTGTATTCATTGCATCGTAACAATATGATCCATTAAGCGAAATCTTACAAAATAAACTTTTTCCTTTATTTCCTTCTAATTCAGCCTTTTGTCTTTCGTTCATAAATTTGTTCGCAAATTCATTAAAACAAGTGTTTTTAGTAAATGTTAAAATTGATTGAATGTCATCGATGATAAAATGAAATCTGTCTATTAGATACTAAAGATAATAAGAAGAAAATGGTTGATATATTGTTGTGTTGATGCTAACTGAGTTAATTTCCTCTGTTTCTGGTCAACTGGTAGATTGTTTGATTTCATGTAATTATACATAAAACTGCCAATTGTTTTTTCATCTGTGATAATATCTAAGTTTCTTATTATCGGTAAAAAGTTTATGTAATCATTAATGTATTTTTCATCAATGTGACCCTTTACTTCAGCCACGAATAAAGTATTTTTCTTCTTAATTATTCCCAGTGCTTTTGCTTTCTTTGTTGCTGTATCACAAAATGATAAACACCATTCAATCTTCCCGGCATATACATTTTATGGTCAGTATATTGAATGAAATCATGAGGATTAGATGAAAATGATGAAGGATATAATGAATTAAAGTCAACACCAACGAAATGAGTCATAATGTTGGTGGTGTCCTCATTTGATACAGTTTTAGTTTCTGGATTATATGAAAGTTTATTAATGTGCGTGATTCCTTTAAGATTTACTCTATGTTGAACATTTGATAAACCACCAGTAATTCCATTACGGAGAATGTGATAAGCTTCAACTGAATCTAAAGTCATTGGTAAATTATTTTTTAATGCATAATTTCTTAAATTGATTCTTAAACGTTGAACATCTTCATCTTTATTTGATTTTACGACATTGCAATAACAACACATTAACTGACAATTTTCTTTAGTATGTGGTTTTTCATTATCGATTCTATCCAATGTTGGTTTATTTGCATATGTAAACGCTTTACCACACATTTTGCATTTAGATGAAAGGATTATTAAATCGTGATAGTATTGAAAATCATCCATTGAAACATTATTTTTAGTATCCCTTTCTGCTTTTTCATCTTGTTTCTTATATGATTCAATTTTATATTTCCAATACTTTTTCGTTAATTCAAAACTTGATTCTATCTCTTCCTCAGGATTTTTCATTAGGATTAAAGTCTTTATATGCTAAAGCGTAACGAATCATTGAAGCATTCGATGATCAAGAAAGATTATGAAGCATATCAATTTTATAAACAAATGTTTCTTCAATAATTTTATCGATTGGGTCAATCATAATTTCAACATCTTTATTGCAATAATGAATAAAATATTCTAATCTATTCTTAAAATTTTTAGCATCATTGAGATATATTTGATAATCACTATCTGATATAGTTTCTTGAGTTAATGCTGAATAAAATGAATCTTTCGTGAATGGTTCCACTTTATATAATTCTTCTTCGTAATTTTCCCACGTGATGAATTGATAAGGGAAAAAGGATTTAACACGTGTTTTATTGTTTCCGAAATCTTGAGTGAATTGGTCTAATGTCCCACCCGCTATATAATTTCTGATGTCAATAAATCTCAATTCATATGGAACGTTTGTTTTCTTTACAATAATTTGCTTAAATTGTGAAGATGAACCCAGCATTGATTTTATTTTCCATTTTGCAGTGTTTAAATCACGAAGAATTAAATTTAAATCAAACTTTCCCGAATTAAAACCTATGATATTCACTTTATTGAATTCCTCATCTAGAAGTTCTTTAAATGCTTCCTTCTGTTTTTCATTTAATGTATGGGACAAAGTCCCCGCCGTTTGCGGCTTCATTAATTCTTCATATTGTTCAATATTTGATTCAACAACTAATGAACAGGTTGAAATTAAAAACTCATTATATTTTTCAACTTCTCTTAATTCCTTAATTTTTTCATCTATTTCATCTCTTATTTTTTTCAGTCTTTCAATTTCATTGTATTCATCATCTTTAATCCGTTCTTCATAATATTCGGGGAAAACATCAGGTTCTTTAGGTTTTTCTTCTTCAGATGTAGGATATAAGAAATTTATAACATCATCTTTATTCATTTTTCCATCATAATCTAAATCATTTAATAACTCCGCAAATTTTTGACAATTTCTTAAATAATATTTATTAACTTCATAACCTACCTCCTCTAATATATCCTTTATTTCCTCGTTTGTGAATCCTAATTTTTTAACGTTGTTAGTTTTGACGCTCATTTCATACAAAATAAAAAATAAAATAATAAACATAACTAAGTTTTAATTTTTCGTAAGAAGTTTATTTTATTTTTATATATAAATCATTCTTAAGGTCAAACAGACTTCTTGTTTTTATATGAATTCCATCCTCTTTAATGTCATCAATGATTTCCATTTCATTATTTTCAATTTCTTCTTCTCGTTTATGAGGTCTTTGATTATGACTCCATTGATTCCATGAAATTAAATATTCTTTATCATTATATTTATACCTCATTAGCTTATTTTGGCTTTCATATTCATTTAATAATTCACAATCTTCATTTTTAAATTGATATTTAACCCATTCAGGATTTAAACAATGTTTAATTAATCGCGGAATATCTGACATCATCTATATATAGCTTCTTTTATAAAAGATAAAAAAATAAATTATTTTAAAATTAATGTTAATTTTTTTAATGATTTATAAATAAATATATTTTAATGCATCGTCTATATATAGATGTAACAAAAAAAGTCACTAAACCCGTCCGCATATACTACTAATTCAAAAATTGTGATAACATATTTATAGTTAATGAAATAGATCATTATACAAATACGAACAAAATCTAAATCGAAAATTACGAACGTCTATTTTTTGACAAACCTTATGACAATTTAAATCTGTATTGACCAGCTGTAATGCATGAAAAATAGCGTGACTTCATTTTTGACAGTTTACAAATGTAAAGTGTTGCATCCTTAAAAACTTGTAAATATATACATTCATGAATTATCTTGTATATTAATTGAAAATCCATAAAACCCTAACAATATTTTTTTCTTAAAAAAAACTATAAAAATATAAATAAAATTAATCGTTAAATAAAAATATTTGATATTAGAATTTTATTGAAAAAATAAAAAACTTAATATTTTAAAGAAATACTTAAATACTTGAATGTTTTAACTTTTACATTATCATATAGACTCTCAAATTATTAGCCATTTTGGCTGAGAACTATGGTCTGCGAGGTACATAGATAGAATCAGTACCTCGCAGACTATAGTTCTCTATATGGCGCCGAAAATTTTTGGTGAAATGTCGTCGCATTTCACCAAAAATTTTTCGGCGCCATAGGAAGAATTGGAGGGTGTGAGATACTATTACATGCTATAGTACTCACACCCTCCAACTCCCAATCAAAATCGCATAAAATTTGCTACTTATCTTCAGATTACCTCCCATTATAAAATATATCATTGCTATCTCATTGTACTATATTTCCACCCTATTGTATTTAAAAATATAAAATTTTTTGATAATATTTTTTATATCTTGAATTTTCAAACAATATATTCACAGATAATATAATGGGAAATCTATCTCAACCTAGCCTTAAAGTACCAAACTCCTGCTTGCATTCTCACTCACAACTATTAAACATCCATCTCCAAAAAACTAAATTCTTCACAATTTTTTTAAAATTGAGAACATAAAAAACGTATGCATTTAATAATTTAAGATACTAACAAATATTAAAAACTTCAAAATATCAGATAATAACGTTTTTCAATTAAAAAATATCATTTTGCTTTTCAATTCGAACATAAATCTTAAATATTTTAATTAATATCTGATTTACAGCATTATTATCCATTTATAAATCTGACAAATAAATGACAAAACCATCAGAAATAGTGTCACTTTTTGTCAAAAGTGAAGTCACACTATTTTTCATGCACAACACCAGCTATTCAAAAATTTAAATTGTTAGAACTCACCATAAAAAGTTTGGATTATTAATAAGCACTGCTAGAAAGCCTTTTATTTTTTTACTATATAAAATTGTGGAGATGCATTTTTTCCCCAAAGAAGGGAACTTATATATTACACTATATATATCATAATAATTCCTATTGATAAAATTTTCTTTTATCCCCAAAACGATTTTTAACGAATTGTTTAATAAGTCTTGTTCTAATAGGTTCACGATTGGATTAAATTCAAATCAATTTCAAAATTTCTGAATCGCCATTAAGAAGAATTGTTTACTTGTGATAACAAAATTGAATACTTGTCAAATTTTTAATATGAATTCATTTTCAAAAGTTTTATATCATAAATAATGAAGTACTATAAACATCAAGTAGAAATATATAATCCAAATTTTGAAGTTAATTGTAAAAAATTTCAATTATAATCATAAATAGCTGTAATGCAAAACATCAGCAAAGCGGGATGGTGTTCCAAGGAAGGCGGACTTATTAAGTCTGTCAAGAGGAGATGGTTCATCCTCGATGGCAATGTTTTACATTACTATACCAAAGATAGAGAAAAAGAAAAAGGTTCTATTCAAATTTCAGAAAACACGAAAGTTGGAAACGATGAGTTCTATAAAATTCAGCCATGCTTCACAATATCGAGCGGAAAACAAACTTATAGGATTTTCCCAGATTCTATGGATGATAGAGATGATTGGATAAAAGTTATCAGAAAACTCTGCGATACAACATTTGCTTCCGAGACGGATGTTTACATTTCCGCAAGCCAAGAGTTTTATGAAAGATTCCCAATGGCTAGATCCGCTATTCGTAGAATGAGAGCAGCAAGGCGTCACTCTGCCAACATATAGACTAACTGTTTTATAGATAATAATATACTATGTCAAATTTATTGTTTTTAGAAATTTTTCGGATAAAAAATATGAATTTAAAATTCATTTTTTAAAATTGAATCTACACATATTAATACTATTATTTTTGTATACATGGCACGATGGGCGCTACTTTTTTGGCGCCAGCAGCGCCGCCCGCGCCTCCGGTGGCTCCCACTGGTGGGGAGGAGACGATAGAAAAGATATAAATTTTACTAAAAAAATTGAATTTTGGAAATTCTTTTGATTTTTTTGAATGATTTACGAAGAGATTGAACACATTTTGTACTATGAAATATCGTTATTAATAAATTTACTTCTTAAACATCTATTAAAATCGCAATTTTGAATATTTTTATGATTTTTTTTTGACCCGATCACTTGCCCGCGCCCACTGGGAGGGGTGCTTGTAAAGTATTCAAAAATCAATGTAAACATTTCAATTTTTGCTTCCACCTCCCATTGGGAGGGGGGCATATATCTTGTAGCGTTCAAGTTCAAGTGATGAAAGTGCATAAGAAAGCTCCTTAATCATACCGATAGAAACAGCATTAGGGGCGCCAAATGGCGCTCGGTGATGTTTCCCATAAAAGCTTAATTTCAGGTATCCATAATCATAACCTGTCAGACGCAATAATTCATTAGCACACAATCATCGTTTCTCAATCAAGAAACGAAACGCACGATTGATTATGCTGGCCATTAAATTTTCATATCAAATAATTTACTACTTCAAGAAAAATTAAAGACTATCATCAACCAAAGCTTAAAATTCTCAGTGTTTACAACTCTCATACTTCGAATATGCATATTTCCAAAATAGCATGAAAATTTTTTTCATTTGAGCTCATTTTCTTTTGTTCTATTAACTAATACATGCAGTACAAGCTTGTTATACGTATACTTAATAAGTAAGGTCTTAAGGGAAATAATAAAAAACAATTTTGCTATTAATTATATTAAACAATATTTATTTGTAATTTCGTGATAATTATATTTCTTATTACAAAGTAAAGGTATTTGATATAATGTTTGCCTTACAAAAATGTTTCCTTTGTCTTGCCACCATAGGTATTCTATTTTGTCACTTTTTGCGCCCGCCGTGCCATGTATATATTTTTGATATATTCAACATGTTATTATGCCTCTACAAGTTCAACGACATGAAAAATTTTTTCAAAACAATAACAACGTTTATCACTATTGTTTTTATTGATAGATTGCGTTTACTAGGATCATATATTGGTTTACACATAATACATTTCTCCAACAACGTTGAAGTGCTAGTCAGAAATTAGTCAAAAACAAATTCTTCCAGTCTTGGAGTTTAACCCCGATACGTTTAATAATGAAATGTATCAATTCATAGCCACTCACAACAATTACTAGTTTTAACCCTATTTTCAATGTGATTGTAATTTAGGTTCATAAAAGATTAAGCTAAGGATCATACCATTTAGTTATTAGGGTGGATGCCAACAAGGTTTTGCATATCTTAGCTTACTGCCTTAGATAAGAAATCAAATGGTGATTAAGTAAACGTATTGAGATAATATTTCTCTTTGAAACTTTCATAATCTAACTAACTATTCATAACATATACTACCGGACACTTAAAACATAAGATTTCATACCAAGACAAGTTTTTGTCATTTTTTTCCCCAAAATCATAACCGTAAAATCTTTGTATGGAATATAAAAAAGATATTAAATTAGATTTAAATTCTGATCTCGAAAAGTTAACGCTTATCATTAAAGATGATAATGAGCAAATTAATGCACCGGAATCTTTATGTTCCGAGATTTTTAATGATTTTCCTTACATTAATGATATAAGAAGCATGAATTTTACTTCAATTGAAACATTTAAAGCACTAATAGAATCAGAATTTGTTGATTACTTCTGCGAAAAGCTATATAATCACTTGAATAATAATTCTGGAAAATATCAGAATAATGTTTTTCGAAAAAAAGCTACGGATCCTTCATTAATACTATCAAATATTTGTCTTCTATTCTCATCTGGCCCGTATGAGTTTCAGATGGAATTAATTAATAGAAATTATCCAAAACTGCTTGTAAGATTTCTGAACTCAGCAAATACGCAAGAACAATTCATCATTTTGAGAAGTATTTCCCACACAATGGGATCTAATGAAGAAATTATCGCTTATTTCGTACAGAACATGGGCATTCAGCCAATTATCGACATATTAGAAAATACTAGCGATGACAAAGTTAGAAAGCAAGCTGCTTATATTTTAACCCAATTTTTAAAAATCGAATTAATACAAGCACTTTTCGAGCAAATTACAGACTTATTACTAACAACAGCCAAAAAGTATCATGAGATTTATAATTACTATCTTGTTCTTGCTTTACACAACGTTTCTTTGTATAATCCTTCTTGGCTTCTTGTTAATAACAAATTTTTATCTTTACAGCACTTCATAAGCATTTCCGATGAAGCCATATCCGCTTTTGCATGCGATGCGATAACAAGAACCATTCAAGTCATGGATATGGAAACATTCCAATCATTTATAGTAAACTGCCAGATCTGGGATAAAATAACTATGGCCATTATCAAAAACGAGAGAATAACTGTAAGAAAGTCAATTCTTGTGTTAGCAATTTCAATTATTCAGAAAGAACCAGAATCACATATATTAGGTATAGAAGCTAAGTTTTTCATTACAATAGGACAGTTGTTAGCCACTAGTTCACATGAAATTAAGCATTTAATTTCTTTATTTTTTATTGATATATATGAATATCTAGGAAATACGATTTTCGAAATAGTTTCTGTTGAATTTGAGATGTTTTCAACCTTGTGCTCTTTAATTCAGCAGCAATCATTTGAAAATTTGCCAAAATTAATTATTATGCTGGGAAATCATGTCAAACACACTGAAAACTTTCCAGCAGAATATGCAGAAGAATATAAAGAAGCTTTAATTGATGCTATTGACACAAATGATGAGATTGCTGACCTTGCAATAACAATTCTTGATGATTTATTTGGTGACAAAAATCAGGATTAATATAAATTGTTTGTATTTACTTCTAAATACTTAAATTGTAAAATATAAAAATGATGAGATTGCTGACCATTCTTGTGAGAAATGCCTACTCATATCTATCTGTCGGCCAATTTCAAGCATAAATGTTGATAGTGCAGTTTTTCCATTTTAATTTTTGGAGTTTAACAATTTCAAGCGGCAATTCACTGATGCACAATTGGGTGGAGCACATCCATTATTATTCATTGCTTCTTTATCGGATCCAATAGAAATACGATATTGAACAACTTCAGGCTGACAATTAGATGATGCATAAATGAGTGGAGTATTTCCATTGCCTTCCTTTGATTTTTTGTCAGCGCCAACAGAGATAAGATATTTAACAACTTAAAGGTGTCCTTTTCCTGATGCAAACATGAGCAGAGTAATATCATGATTAATCTTTGATTCTTTATCACAACCGCATTCAATGAGTGATTTGACAAGCCTGAGATTTCCTTTTTTACTTGCAACAGGAAGTATATTAACTTAAAAAAATCATGTGCTTACAAGCAATTTCTAACATTTCAGTATTTTCTTCAGATGAAAGTTCATCAATAAATTTATAAACGAACTTCGTTGATTGGGAATGTTCCACGTTTCGTGAGATGGTAAAACAGTTCACCACCGGGAACATATTCTAATCCAAGGTAGAATTTCGATGTGTTTTGAAACGCGAAGAATAATTGAACGATAAAAGGGTGATGTGCAATAACTGCATGTGACTTCATCGCGTCAAGCAATTTCCAATTAATTTTGATAAATTCTTTATGTACACTGAGTTCATCTCCGAAATGTACGAAATCTGTTATTTCATACACTAAATTGTATATTTCCTCCAATAAATGCAATGATATGATATCAAATATTCTGCCACAATTGAAGAAATTCCAATTCGGATAAATTTCACATGATATATTTTTTATTTGGAGTATTCTCGTGCATTCCTAATTGAATTACGCTTTTTAATAACGATATCGTTCAGAAAAAAATGAGTATTCAGGATTTTTTCGCAACTGGAGAGGGTCTCGACGTTGAAGTTACATATGAACAACTTTACCAGCAAGTCAAAGACATGCAAAAGCAAATTCGGAAAACAAGTCAGCTAAAAGATGAGTTTTTGGCAGTTCCAACAATTGGAAAATATAAAAGTCTCGAAAAAACATGGAATGTGCAACAGCAGAAACTGCAACAATTTTCGGAAGATTTGTCGCGATTAAATGGGCAAGAAAGTGATTTATTAGTACCTATTTCGGAAGACCTCAACGAAATTAGACAACAACTTGCCAGAGTTAAAGAAACAATTGAATCTGAACGAAAGAGAGTCGAACAAATGGTTGTAGATGAAGAAGAAATGCTCAGAAAAGAAGAAGAGGATAGAAAGAAGACACAAGCACAACTTGAAGCCGAATATCAAGCCAGGGAAGCAGAAGCCCTTGACCAAGGTGCTAAAGAGATTGTTAGCGCTATGAAAGACACACTTGACATTACAAACCAATTGAACGAAAATCTTGACAAGCAGCATGAAACAATACAAAGAGTTGAGAAGACTGTTGAAGAAGCTCATGAAGAAATGGTCGCAGGAAACGCAGATCTCGAAGAAGCTCATGAACATCAGAAAAAGAACTCCAAATGCTTGTATTACATAATTGGTGGTATCGTATTTGCTGTTGTACTGGTTGTCATTGTTGTTGTCCTTCTCAAAGTTTAATTTCATAGAGAATTTTTTATTTTTGTTATTTAAAATGATTAAATATCTGTTTTTGTTTGAATCTGATCGTTTGGTAAAAATTCGAATCGTATTTTTAACTTTTTTCATGGAAAAATTACAATTTATTTTAATAAAACAAATAAAAGATGAATTAATTCAAATTCCATCTATATCTATTATAAAGGAAGTTATCCGAAATCGGAATAAGATAAGAATCAGTTTGGAACTTCTTATTGACCGAAATACCTGGATAATCGGAGAAAGAGAAGTCAAAGTAGAAGTCATTAATTGTAACAAACGTTTTGACAACGGCCATCTTGAAAATTGGACCTCTGCAATTTTGGATATTTATTGTATTGCAAACCCATTGGGATTCCATCATTATGACTGCAGTAGTCGATGTGAGGTTAACGAAGTTGACTTTTTCGATAATTTTCTTGGATGAAATCGATCTTCTTAAAGGAATGCAAATATCAGCCTTAGAATTCAAAAAGTGTGTGAATTTTATAACTGTATTTGAGAGATCTTGTGGTGTTAAGCAACAACCATCACCAGAAACCTCAGAATGTGTTATATTTGCAGTTTCCCATAAAAACAAGCCCAATTTGCATAGAATATTGTTGGATTCGCCAACTGGACACGACGAAAGCATTCCACTCTTATAAGTTGAAATAAATTTACATGTGAATTTTTTGCGTTTTACAGCTTCTATTGTTCCAAACTGATTCTGCTTTGCAGCAATATCACTTGCCGCGACACAGTTTAAGTCTATTGTATTACAAGAAATGAACATCGCACCATCATTTCCTTCAGGAACGAAACAGCGCTCGAAATAACAGCATTTAATCCATATGTTTGAGTCTTTATCTGTGGGATTGAAGTAAATAGCAGCTCCTGATTCGTTAGTCGTGAAATCATACCATTGAGATGCTTGTAGAATGTTGCATCCCTTCTGAAATGTGGTTAATCGGGCAGCTTCTAATACCATCATTACTGTGATCTGACATTGAAAATCATTATCACCTCGAGAAAACGATAAAAACGGGAAAAAACAAAACATATTGTAAAAAAGTGTCGTGTGATCAAAATTTTCGTCACTTTTTATTCACAAAATCTTTTTCTTTTTTTTTACATGAAAGTTAAGATTGTTCTTCTCGGTCCAATGTCCGTTGGAAAAACCGCACTATGTAATAGATTCAAGTATGATAAGTTCGAACAGAATTACCAAGTAACTATCGGCGCTGGCATTATTGACTATCAGACCAAAGTAAACGGTAAATCTGTTGATGTACAAATATGGGATACTGCTGGAATGGAAAGGCACAGATCATTAAGTCCTTTGTATTACAGAGACGCTGATGCGGGAATATTTGTTTACGATATTTCAGAAAAAGGCTCAATCAATCAGTTAGAAAGATTTTATGATGAATTTATGGCTCAAAACGATCGTGGTTTTCATGGAATAGTTGTTGCCAATAAGTCTGATTTAAACAAAAATGAAGCTGCACTGGAAGAAGGAAACAAATGGGCTACTATGCATGGTTGTGAATTTACGACGGCATCAGCTAAAATCGGCGAAGGAGTTGCAGAAGCATTCAATAAAGCAATAATGGGAGCAGTCCTGCGTTCAACAAATACAGCAACAAAAAGCATTATACTTAAGAATGCCGATGATGATGAAAAGAAGGGATGCTGCTAGAATTTTATTTCAATATTTTTATTAACAGTTTATTAATTGTTTGTTTGTATTATATAGTCTCTTTTGGTGAAAAATATACCATTAACTCATTGTAATCAGATTTTCAATATCTATGCCAGATTTTATTTGCTTTTAGATTATGAATGGAATAATAAACTATCCAGTATAAAGTACTCTCTATCTAAATATTAATTTTTTATTCCGAAAACGACAAAGAAATTTCCAACAAATTATTGACTTTGGTTTTGATTGACTTGGAGAGCACAATTCTATTATACTTGTTGTCTATGTCTTGAATCAATGGGTTATGCTTAAAATGAATGTCATAATTTTTAATTGTATTTAATAATCACTTTAAAATTGCTTACTAAACAAAAATTATGATTACTTATACGAATGTTATTACAAAATTGTTTTCTAATTCCCCAATTACTGTGATAAAACAGTGAGAAATATAACTGTGAAAAACGAAATTCAAAGAAATTTATAAACCTTAATATGCTAGAACATCTCGCAAATTTCATTTCTTTTTTGACGCCGATAAGTGACAAAATTTTTATAAATTTTTTGAATGGATGATGACAATTCGAGTTCCAATGATATAGATGATATTATGGAGCTCAAGGGATGGTTAAAGAAAAAGTCGCTCGGTGAAAAAAAGTGGGTCAAACGTTATTTAGTACTTCGCGAGAATAATTTGACATTATATTTTGATGAAACATGTAAAGACGCAGATACAACATATCAACTATCCTCGAACACAACAGTAGAACAAATTGTCGATAATAACACTCCAAAATTCATGCTAACCATCGAAGGACAAGATCCAATTACATTTTCAACGGATACCTCCGAAAATGTGCAAAAATGGATCACAGGAATCCGAAGTTCATTTGAATCCTCACCTGTTCTGTCCATGTCTTCCTTCGACATCCTTCACGTTCTTGGAAGAGGCGCTTTCGGAAAAGTTATGCTCGTCAGACATCGGTCCAGCATGAAGTTATACGCTATCAAATCAATCCAAAAGAGGAAACTACTTGACGCGATGAAGTCACATACAGTTATTGCAGAAAGAAATATACTTATGAAGGCACATCACCCTTTTATCGTTCAATTATTCTTTGCCTTTCAAAACCCATCGAAATTCTACCTCGGATTAGAATATGTTCCCGGTGGTGAACTGTTTTACCATCTCACGAAACGTGGAACATTCCCAATCAACGAAGTTCGTTTATATTCAGCTGAAATCGCATTAGCATTATCATACTTACATAGCATCGGTATCATTTACAGGGACCTCAAACCGGAAAACGTCATGCTTGACAGCACAGGCCATATCAAACTTACAGATTTTGGTTTATCTACAGAAGTCTTCGAACTTGAAGAATGTGGTGATTCATTTTGTGGAACATCTAGATATTTGTCACCGGAGATGATATACAAAATCAAATATACACATAAAATCGACTGGTGGTCACTTGGAATTTTGATGTACGAAATGATTGTCGGACATCCTCCATTTGATTCACAAAACAGGAGTCAGTTGTATAATGATATCACACACTCCGATCCTGTTTTCCCAAGTTCTTTTCCAGTTGACGCAAAAGATTTAGTTTGTAAACTTTTAACTAAGAATCCAAACCAACGACCAGACTTCTCTGGTATCAAAGACCACGTTTTCTTCAAAGGAATCGACTGGGATAAGGTTTACAACAGAGAATACCAACCAAACTTTATTCCAAAGCAAACTACACCTAACTGTGACTCTGTGTTCCTACAGGAGAGTCCAGCAGATAGTATTGTAACTGCTACTTCTGCACAATTTCCAGATTTCTCATTCCAAGGTCAATCATTATGCGATTCATACCAAGAATGGGATTGAACTAATATCTTTTAATCTTTGTATTTAAAATTATGCGTTTTGTATCTATTTTTACTATTTTTTCCTTCATCATAATTTAAATTTTTTATGCATGTGTCCATATGAGCGCCGATTTCTATAGAAAATTTCCTATAAATGCTTTTACAAACACATGAGCTATCTCATACAATCAATGCTCTCTCGAGATTGTGAAAGTATGCCCATGGAGCCTAAAACATAAGTAATTAATGAATTTTATAGATGCTCAGGCATTATGTTGACGGAATGGCCGATTACTATGTATGAAATTAAAAGGATGAGAATTTTTGAAAAGAATATGTAATTTGTTAAATGGATACAACACCCTGTATTCAGAAAGAATTTAGATAATGCTTTTGGTCTTAAATAAGATATATCAAATCGATCATTATGGAAGGTTAAGCCAAAATCCACCTTTTCCAAGGTATCGTATATCCCAATATCTAGTAAAGTGATATGTGAGTTGCTTCAATGAAGTTGTTAAATATTTTCCATACTTCTATTCGATAAAAGAAAATTTCATGGATGAGTTACTGGACACCATCGTTGTTTGGGTTTTCCGGATTTCTCTTGGTATAGCAATGTTTGTTGTTTTATATAAAAGAATTATGTCCCCTCAATCTATCAATAAAGACCTTAAAATCTTGTTGGCCAGATATTTTGCTTGTCAATTTGCAATATTTTTCGCATCACATCTTCAAATGCCCTACAGATACCAATTGTTTCTCGAAAAAGGACTAACTGGCTCCCAAATATCCGAAATTTTCGCTTATGCAAATATTGTCATTGCAATTTGGAATTTAATTATGCCAATCGCACTCAAAAAGCTTGGTCATGCAACATTATGCACATTTGTAGCCCTTTCATATTGCCTTAACTCATTTTTAATCTCATTCAGTGATAAATTTTACCTTTTCGTTATCTCAGGATGCATTTCAGGTCTCGCAATGCCAACAGCAATGATGTCCCTAATGGATTACTGGATGTCAGAGGAAATGCTGCTTCCAGAAGAATCAAACGCAAATTTTGTTTTTAATGAGTTCAGAGTACTTGTTGCTTTGCTTAATTCTTCGATATCATCACCTACAAGCAACTATATCGCTACAAATTACGGAATTAAATACGTTTTCTCGTTCACAATTTCAATTCCACTTGCTTCTATCATTTTGATCACTTCTTTACTACATCTACAGAAGAAACCGGAAGAAAAATCAATTGGCGGTGATTTTTCGGACCTTAAAGTCTTCTTTACAGAAAATCCAAAAAATATCGCATTTGTTTTCACGGAAATTGCCTTTTCTGTTGTTCTCCATTCAATGATGCAACACATGTCTGCATTTCTATTCACACCCACTCATAAACCTCCAATGGGATACGTAAAAGGCGCTTACGGGGTTTTAGATTTAATTTCAGCACAATTATTCTCGCAAATCTCCGGGAACTTGTCAGCAACGATGTGGACAATTGTTATAATGATATCCATGGGGGTGGCAATGAGCGGAATTGTTGTTTTTTACGAAAATAAGATTATTACATTTTTATTGTTGGGATTAGTATCAGCAATTATATCATCTGCTAACGGAATCTTCATACAGATGAGGAAACTGATATATCCAGGCAGAATCCGCAACTATATCATGACAGTTGTGAAAATGCCTTCATCTCTCATTTCTACAGTGATAATTTACTTCGTTAAGGACTACAACGTGAAATCTTACATTATTGTATCCACTGTTGTTGTCGCTTGGGGAGCTATTTTCGCTTATATCATTCGATCTTTCGAAAAAACAGAAATCATCACAAAAGATCAGGAAGAACTCCTCGAAGAGACAAAGAATATTACAGTGGAAGTAGACGAAGAGGAAGAGAAGAAAGAAGTTTAATTATTTATTGTTTTTGTTGTTGTTATGTAAATATACTTGTTTTATATTAAATAGCAATACATTTTAGCTAATAATTTGCTAATGGTGTGTGTGAATCCTACGTGGAAAGGCAGGTTAGTTCTCAAAATTCAGGGAAGGATCATTTTATAGGAACATTATTTTATAATACATAATTAAAAAAAAAACTAGATTTGTTACAGAAGGCGAAGCAGAACTAACTCAGTATGGATTGTATTACAACGGCAAAGGATTTCATATGAAAGCAGGTTCATCAATCACGTTCCAAGTTTCATTTAACCAAACAGGAAATAGTGCTGGTTTTATTGGAGGTAAATCGGTGAATGGTGGTCATTTGATGTCTTGGAATCAACAGCAGTATCTTCCTTTCTAATGAACTGAGACGATTGATAGGAAACAAGTTCTATCAATCACCTCTTGGTGGAATTAAATACTTTGTAAACAAATCAAAACATTCATTTCGCCTTCATTGCTTTCAGGATTACTTGCCTTCAGGGAAGTTGTCGAAGGCGAAATTTGTCTTTAAGGATTACTTGCTGATGGCAATCTTATAGCTTATTTACTGTTCCTTCAGAAGATGAATATGGGAACGTAATTTCCCCAATAACACCAATCACTCCAGATGAAGAAGGAGATAAAGATGGCAAAACACCAGATCCGAAAAATTCAAAATCAAGCGAATGTGGAAGTTTGAAAGATAATATTTATCTTTATTCTTTTATGAACGGTAAATCAAACATGAAAGATATTCTAAACTCCAAAAGCCATAGGAAGTTTAATATTTCCGAATGATATTTGAATTACTGATTTGATTACACGAATTAAATTTCATTAAAAATGCTTATTTTATGATTCTTTGTGGCAAAATATAGACTATTGACGATAATCTCTTTTTATTAATTGTATGACTTCTATCAAAATTTTAACTGTATATACGACTTTTGTAATTAAAATCTTTTACTATTTTTTTGCTGAACATTATGTATATATCCATGAGAATGATAATTGGTTTTCTTTACCTCTTATATTGTTTCTTTGGCTTATTTTAAATTATGTAAGTTCTCAAAATTTGATGTAGATTTTCTGAAGTTTACAATTTTACATCATTCGTTTTCCTTTCGAGTCGGAGAACGAAATTAGATTCATTAGTTCAAAAATCCGATCGATATTCTGAAATGATAAAAGAAGAAGATAATACAAGAATTGATGCATCAAGAATGGACAGAGTTTTTCACAAGTTCCGAACAAGGAACAAAATACTCTTCAAAAAACGAAAAACTTAGTTCAAGGGATCCAAATTATTATATAAGCTTTTGTAATTTTGGTACATTACTCATAGAAGGTGCCATTAACTTTACGACTTCGAAAAATACCACGAAAACTCTTATTGAAGCGTCGAATTTTAATAATTGCACAAATACCAAAAGAAGAGGAGGAATTTTATACTTCTCCACAGAAGGCGAATGTGTTCAAAATCGAATTTGTAGTTTAAAATCTAATTCTGCTTATAGATATATGTATTGTTATGTTGATGTTAGTGAGTTTGGTGCGTATAAGAATAAAATTCTTAATTCTCTTATTTCTGAAAGTGGAAATTTATATAATTATACACATGATAATATTTATCTAAAAAATGGAGAAGCTGAAATAAATTCTATAAATATTTCATATAATAATTTAGAATATCTGAATTTATTAAGCATATCCGACTATTATTCTTCATCAAGAGCATCATTTTCAACACTTATTAATAATACTGATACACTTCAAAAAAATTATGATCGATTTGCTTATATTTCTTATTCACAGAAAACATTTTTGATCAAGTCATGCAACTACTTAAGTAACAATTTAATTGTAATAATAGGTGCTTCTATGGCAAATTTCAAATTAGTTAATTGTAGTTTCATCAATAACACAGGTAGATATTTTTATATTGCTCAATATACTTATCCAGATGCATCTTATGAGTCACAACATAGTATAATTGATGGATGTTACATTGATGAAAGTAATCCTAGAAATTTTTGGAATGTTTATTTCACAAACAATAGAGCAAATCCATTCGAAATAGAATTTCCAAATTTAACATGTGAATTTGATATTCCTAAATCAAAGAATGAAGAAGAAAATGAAATCATTTATTTAAATAGAAAGAAAAGAATTTTAAAAAATCTTCATTTTTTGTTCTTCCAATCATTTGTTATTATTTCTCGAAAGAAGTAAAATATATCCATATAATAAGCGTTAAAGAAGTAATTGTAAACGTCGCGAATTGTAATTTTATCAATAATTCAAGAAGAAATAGTTATTTTTATCAAAGTTCTTCATTTTCAGGAAATATTACAATTGATGGATGTTACATTGATGAAAATGATCATCGAATACATAGACCAGTTAGTTTCACAAACAATGTAACAAATCCAATAAAAATTGAAATACCACATTTGTCATGTGTATTTGATATTCTTAAATCAATGAATGAGGAGGAAATCGGAATCGAATATTTCAACATAATTAAAAATCTTCATTTATTTCTCGATTTATTTATGCCAATTGTTATTGAAAATATATATTCTATTCATAATCTTTCTTACTTTTCAACATATCTTTGTGAAGTGAAGTTTCCTATTATAGATAAAAAACTCTCGAGATCTGCTACAGATGACGCTCATAATTTATCATGTTCTATTCGACCAAGGCGGCAATTTTGATGATATGAACAAAAGAAGTTATTATCTGTTACAAAAATAGAAATAGAAAAACTCATGAATTCTTATTAGTATGAATTCTTTAATTCTGATGATAATAAATATAAAAAATATGATCATTACAGTTACAAAAAACTTAAAACAAAATAATATTTTTATACAAGAAAAAAATAAACAAATAAAAAGTTATCTTTCAATTGGTTCTACTGAGTAGTAGCTTCCAATTATTGGATCTTTCTTACTAACAAACTTTGCTCCAATTGAAGCAACTTGGTTGTAGACATTCTCAGTGATACAAGCCATTCCTGACTCACCAATCATTGACAGTCTACTTGCTTTGTCAAACAACTCTCCGACACAAGCAATTTCTTTAACATCTCCTTTTGTTTCACAAATATTTATTGACTGATTTGTGTCAACACCAATTGTTATCTCTCCAAAGAATGTCGGATCATCGAAACTGCTCAAAACATCATCAATATACCTAAATATATCCATCGGAGCATTTTTATTTGAGGAGATAATGCAATACATTCCTTGAGCGAAAAACAATCTTTGCAGTGTTTCGTATTTCTTCAAATTCTCATCAATTTTATCTAATATCTGTTTCCTTTGTTTCATAACAGCTGTTGGAGCCAAAGAGTTGGAAAATTGAACTAATCTCATTGTGCAAATCGAGCAATCATTCAATGTCAAACTATGATTTTCATTATTTAATATAGGAGGTCTTAAATTGTTTTGTAAATTATCATTTCCTCCTTTGAGGATTCCTATCTTCTTCTGTTTCGCGAGAACAGTTGAAAAATCAGTCAAAACAAAAGCAAACAATGAGTTCTTGCTGTGTTGTGAATTCGTCAAAATTGGTAAAACATCGCATTCTATTTCTTGACCGTTTTCTTTTCTGAATTTTGCAGAAATATTATCGAAAACAATTGTTTGTGAATTATGAGCATTTTCATCATTTTTAGTGACTAATGATTGTCTATTAGATTTTCCATTTCCTCCATGATTTAGTTTAGATTTCATTTCATTGTAATGGAAGACATTTTGGAGTTTATCAACATCAGTAATCATCGCAATATTTTGACCAATAATATGCGAGATTTCATAAGTAAATACAATCTGGAATGATGAATTCACATTAACAATAACTCCATCACTTGTTGTGAATATTAATGGATGAGAAGTGTTTGCAAGTAAAGTTGCTGTTTCTGACATTTTCGCCAGTTTTTGAGAGATTTTTCTATTCAACAAAATCATCATCAAATCATCATTATTTACAGCATCAACGGGAGGAACTCTTAGTATGAATTCTATCATTGTTTTATAAGTCATTCTCATAAACCAATATCTATAGATAGCGAAGAACAAAGTAATAAAAGTCAAAAATGTTCCTGAAGATGCCAAAACAGTTACAAACATATCTTGTTGTTCATCAGTTTTATCTGCTTGATCCAACAACAAATCAATGACTTCTTCCATCTGTGGATATAAATGTGCATTTAAAAAGTGAAAAGTATTAATAAAAGCTGTATCACTCAACATTGTTGTTGATTGATATTGTACTTGTATATCAGTAATCATGTTATAGAATGCGGAAACACCGCTATCCAATGACAAACAAGAATAAGATTCATGATAAGTTGCATCTTTCAAAGAGAAATTACATGGTGAATCTTCTCTTATTCTATTAATTTCTTCCAAAATGTCACCAGATCCATAATAACCAATACTTGCTTGCTGGTGTGCTTCTGTGAATTCTTGTTGTGCTTGTGTTGATCTCATTCTAAATTGAAATCCCAATCTCATTATATTCATGTTGTTTCTGAAATTAGAGAAAACATTTGAAACAACTAAAGTATAAATAGATTCAACAGCTTTAACTTTCCTTATTGTTGCTTCTAACAAAGTATTTCCTAAGCCTTGATAATTCTTTGATTCTGTCTAACTCTCATAATAAACAAACCAATGAAAACTAAACAAAACAAAGTCAAAAACATTTCAATCAAATACAAAACAGTTGTTTTAACTGTTGATCTTTCTGTTTTCGAAATAGAAGCAGCTAAATTAGGAGCATCCGTTGATATCTGTGCAATGAAAATATTTGATGAACATGCATCAAAAACTTCAGGAGGGAATTTCTTACAACTTTTCACTGTTTTTGAAATTTTCGAATTAAACAATAGAACTAAAACTAATTCACTAATTAAAAAGAAAGCTGAATAAACAATGAAGATAACAATAAAAGATTCTAAATGAAAAGTACCAACAGAATTAGAAACATCTGTTACAAATGTTCTTGAAAAATTAAAAATATTATCAACAATTGTTGAAGAGAAAAATATACTGTCATAAGACATTGTATTTCTTGTAATTGTGTTGCTTTCTGTACTAGCAATTACATGAGTGTTTGTAAGGAATTCAGCAATGATGAATGCCAATGATTCTTGACCTGCATCGACTTGGCCAAAACTAGCATTTGTGTAAGAAATATTAAAGCTTTGATTAAACAAGAAATTAATTGATTCCGTTAAATCTTCATTATCAATTATTTCATTTATCATTCCATTATAAACATTTGTCATTATATTTGTTCCTTCTTCAGTTATTTCATGCGCGAGATCAAGGAAAGACATATTAGGATCAATCATATATTTTGTGTGATTTACTCTGTCTGTTCCTATTGCTTCATCCATTTCATAAATGTCTTCAACAGCTCCATTCGCATTTGCAAGATCAAAAAGCAAAACTTAGCATTGCCAATGTAGTTGCTTCACCAATATCAGATGTGTTCTTTATCAAATGTATTCTTGTAACTGTACCAGAAAACAAACCTGTAAAATACATGGCCAAAACTGTCCAAAGAATCCAAAAAGCCAAAAATTTGATGATTGACAAAACCAAAATCAAAGGTAAAGCAAATGTTAAATGATTAGAAATAGCACGTTGATATTCCAATCTTAATCTTGGATGTTCAACTAATTGTCCTAAAGCATCTTCTTTTGCTTTGACATCTAAATCATCCATTGTTGAAATGTTCGATTTCGAGATAACTTTTGCGGCGTATTCAGGGAAAATGTGGAGGAAATTAAGGGAAGCAGTATCGTATCTATATACTTTACCATCTTGTAGTTGTAGAGCTGAATAATGCCAAAAAGCAGCATTGTCAAAGTCACTTTTGCATTCAACTAAAAAGTGAGCGTATTCTTCAGCCAACAAAGCGTTTCTTGGATACTTCGTGAGTGCATCTTGTCAATGTCCCATGCAATCTTCCTTTTGACGGTTGATTGGCTCCATAATCGAAGGTGCGAAGAAATCATTATTATTCTGGATGTATTTCCAAGCGGCTCTGATTGTCATTTCCAGTTTCTTCGTTTCATCTCTCAATGGCATCAACTCATCTACTGTGCAAAGTGGTTGTCTGCCGGTCTCTGCTATTCTAAGTTGATAAAAAAGAAAACTTTCTGACATCGACAAACTTGTTGCGTTTCTAAGCATCGCTAATTGGGCTGTAAACTGTGGTTGAAGCTCTTGGAAGTAACAAACAAACTTGGCAACCTCTAATCTGACCGTGTAATTGTTTGTTCCTTGTACAATCATTTCAATAATTTTGCCTGAGATAAAAGATGGATCGTTTTGGGATACGGCCAATCTAAGTTGCTTTATGGCAAGCCTGTCATTAACAAATTCTTCTTTTCGGATAATCTTTTTGGAGACAAATTTGAGAATTATGTGGAAAACTATGGAACTGATCAGAAAAGAAACCAAAACAAGTACATATCTTAGATAACCAAGATTTCCGCCTATAAAGAAACCGATGGAACCGAAGATGCAACTTGTTAATGTGGCCGCAGCAATAGTTGTAACGTATAAGTACGCAAATGGGAAATTAAATATGAGGAAGAGCAAAAATAAGTCTAAAACGATGTTGAGGGCTCCAACGAAATATGGAAAATTGACATTAAAATCTTTCGAAATCCAGATCAAAAAAGCTAAGAAAGAATTAAAGAGATATGTAAAGAAGATCGGTTTGGATTCGAAGTAAACGCATACAGAATCATGGAAAAAGATTGTACTGGAAGAAAATAATGTCGAAAAGTAAAAAATTCCAATGAAACAAGCCCACAAGATGAACGTAAGTAAAAGTAGAACTATTGTTGATAGCGTTGACGCAAGTTGATTGATCATGGCTGTAAGAATGGAACCGGCATTTGAAGATAAAGGAAGAATCACAAGAGGTATGAAGAAATGCATTATTATATTCATAGCGGCTATTTCGACCTTAGTTATTGTACCTTTTAATTTGTATCTAATAACAGTTGCAATGAAAAAGAAAAGGGCTACGTATCCTACTGCAATAACGATAATCTCTAAAGTAATATGTGTAGTATTGTATGATGGATACGAAAACAAAAAGATAGACGCTATAATTTGGTCAATCTGGTAGTTTGCATATAGATTGGGGAAAACTGATATGAGAATGTGCTGAATTATTGCAAATAGAAGCGTGATGTATGTGATTGCCCTATATGAAAACGTTGATCTTTGTAGTACGGAGAAGAATGGGAATATTTTAAGAGCGAAAGAATTAACTGACAACGCTTTCTTCCTAACTTCTGGATGCTGATCAAGCCGAGATGATGTTGCACTGGATGATCTGCGAGAAGTCATTGGTTTGAAATAGAAATGTAAACTATTGATTTCTATGAAACATGAATTCAAACTGTTATTGAATTTATAAATTGAAAGCTTACATTTGATTTGAAATTAATTTTTGTGAAGGGGTACATTTTGATACTATTTTTATATTATGTTAGTATAACATTTTTAAAGTGTGGCAAATTTTCAATAAGTCCGTTATCTGGGCAAACTATCAACAAAGATTATCCATATCTAATGAATTATTATTTTTGAATTTCGCTAATTTCGGCTTTTTGATTGATTCGGTATTGGATTTTTCTGAAAATGAAAATTTATGTTCAATATATAAGAAGAATAGGGAAAATTTCATTAAAATTCAAAAAATAATTTGATTCTGAAGAAACCAAAAGATTTCACCTTTTTTAACCCAAATGAATAGATATGATTCAATTAATCAGCTCATCATCCTTCTGTCGAAAACTGCCATTTGGACAGTTATAATTGCACATTTTTGGCCTCGTCAAGATATAAAATATATCAAAACGTTATATTTGATTTCGCTATATTAAGAATAAATAGAAATTCATATGAATTGTATGTGCACTATCGCAATAGAAGATAGATTAAGATACAACAAGAAAAATGAACAAATTTTGTTCAAACTTCTATTTTATCTAATCTTATCTTAACTGTGATACTGTTCATACTGATTATATTCGTTTTATATATACAAAACTTGGGATTTTTCTTATAGTTATGTGCAAATCGAAACATAATTCCTGAATTACTATAGTTGTATCCTGTTTTTCAATATCTTGGATAATTACGCTTCTAAAGTGCCAAATTGACACGGATTAAACCAGAAAGATATTTCAATTCAGTTTGTTAAAAGGTAACTAAACTCCTTTCGCCGATCCGATTTGCTCCATATTTAAAATATAGCTTGCATATGTAGAAGAAAAGCTAATTTTGAAGTACGCCCGAAATCCACCAACAGGATTTCGAGCTACTAAAAAGGTACTTTTAAATGTGATTTTTTTTATAAAAAATTAAATTTATTTTAAGATCAGACTAAAAACTAATTTTATGGAAAATCTATATCGACAAATTTATTATTTATTGGGTATATAGATTTTTTGATTATGGCGATTATGTCTGATATGCTTCCAATAAGCCAAAACACATTTCATACTGATTTCTATAAAAGGTATCTTTATTATAGAAGTGTAAGCTATATCTGTTTGTTTTTTTATTATAACAAATTCAAAATTCTCTTATAAGGACTAGATGAAATCTGTATTATTAAATCATTAGCTAAATGAAGGTTTAAATAGAAAGTAAATATCAATTTATATGATACTGAAACCAAATAGTTCTTTTAATAAAAGATAACACGCTGAAAATTATTGAGTATTTGCAAATCTCAAAAATCTATTGGTGAATTTGGCTCAACTTTTAAAATTATAACATCCATATCAAATCATAAAAGCAGACAAAAATTAAAGCCAAACCTATCGGCCAATTTTTTTTTGATATTTTGATTTTTGAGGTATACTTTTAAAAGTGGATTTAAAGCACTTATGAAAAAACATTAACTTCTGTCGTTATGATTATTGATTTAGACAATAATGATTTTAATCTTTGATTATCAAAACACTAAAGTCATCTTTTTAACATTTGCTTGGTAGCATTAACTCAAGTCTAAAGTACTATTTTATGTGGCACTCTTAGAATTTTTGTATTCATTGTACACGCTGAAATAGTACCATTAAAGTTATGGCGGACTTTCAAAAAATAGTTTGGTCACCTTTGTTTGTTAATTATTTCTTATTAGTTTTTTTTCAATATCTTGGATTCTTTGTGATAAAACAAGACCAAGATCTCAAATGCTATTGTGTTAAAAATTCCGGTTCGAAAGTTTTGTCAACATGAATAGGCAAAATCGCAACCGAATTTTTAAATCTAGATTTTGATGATAAATTGTGATTTTTAGCTTAAATCGCGATTTTTAAAAAATCGCGAACAGAATTTTTTCGCGATTTATTAATAAATCGCGATTTGAACGATAAATTTCGATTTTTTTAAAAAATCGCGATTCGGGAAAAAATTGCGACTTTTTGAAAAATCGCGAACTTTCAAAAAAATCACGTCCTTAATTTTGGTCTTTTTCGGAGTGATAAGTCGTCCTTTAAGTAATATTTTTTTCTCGAATTGCTAATTGAAAAATTAAATTCGAGAAAAGAGATTACAATAGTATTGTATGGACTATAATCCTACTACTATAACACTTTTTTTGTGAAAATCACACTTTTTTAAAAAAAGATATCAAATTGAAAAAAATTATTCTTATATTTACTTATACTGTAGGGCACATTCATTGGTTATGAAAATCACATAGTATGAATACTCAATCCCAAATATCTTAAAAAAATATTCTAAAATATTAGACTCGATTTTAGCAATTGTATTCTAATCATAATATAATGCCCGAGTATATTATATAAATAGAACAAATATTAGTAAATTCAATTTTTTTTTTCAGATCGCAAATTATCTAATACAAATATTCATAAAAATCACATACAGTATATTTGCATTCAATGTCAAATATAATAGCTATCTAATACTTTCGAAAAATTGAGCTTTTGAATATTTTATAAAATTTCTGGTCCAAAAATTGTGCTTTCACAATATTTTGATGATATCTATAATAATTAGACTACAAATATAAATTGTATAATAAAAAATCAAAATTTGCTTTTGATATCTCAAATCTCGATATGAGATATTCAATGTCAAATCAAAGTATTCATAATTAACAGATTTGTATCGTGAATGCTTTCGTTTTGCTTAATACACAATTATGCATGACAAGTGTGTGTGGCTACACAATTCTTTCCGTCCGAAGCGGAGAATTGTGAAGTTTACACCGCATTTCACGGATAATATAATGGAAAAACGATTTTCATGGAATACTATTTTTATTAATAGCTTAATAAATGAGCGAGTCTGATAGATATATGTTACGCAAGATATATCCATAGAGAAGTGTTTAAGTATAAAACAATGCGTTATACGTTATATGTAGGATATAGATGGTTTTTCTCCATTGAGAATTTTGTCATGTGAAAAATCTCTTTTTTAGCTATGATAAAAATACTTTTTATATACTATTATATCTCAGTTGATATTGATTCAACATTCTTATTTCACATGATAATATAATAGTATATGTAGCGAGGTATTATATTCTCTTGTGATTTCGATCTATTAATGCTCACACAAAAAATTCGCTACATCAAAATTTCCTCGGAAAATTTCACTTTTGCTGCTTTGATTCAACTTTGATGTCCAATGAATACTCAATAAAACTCGAAACTCTGATCATGGAGATCTATCATCACATATATAATTATATTGCTTAAATATGTGTATAAATTGTATTTTGGATTTTTCGGATTAAAAAAGGTTAAAAGTGTCATATTGATATAATTCACATTTTTGATTTCGTTACTTAGAAATGAGAATTGGTCAATAATTTATTATCCATTTGTAATTATAAAGTGTTTTAATGTATTGTGAGTTCATTTAATTAGGTTTAACTATAATATAAAAATAAATAATCACAATAATAAGTATTTAATTAAAAATGAGTATATTCAGAGATAATGCAGGTTCTTTTAGTTATTATTTAGGAGGTTTTATTTAGTTAACAACAAATTAAAATAAATATATTAAGGAATGCGTATCAACAATTTTAACATTAATGGAGGTAGATCAACAATATTAATAATGGGAGTGGGTCAATAATTCAAATACTGGAAATGGCTTAACAATGTTTATTATGGATATGGTTCAACAATGTTTATTATGGAGCTGGATCAACAATGCAATTAATGGAGGTAAATTAACAACGTCAATAATAGTAGTGGATAAGCAACTCAAATACTGGAAATGAATCAACAATGTTAGTGATGGAAGTGGATCAACAATGTAATTATTGGAAGTGTATCAATGTTAGTAATGATTGTCAAAATTCGTTTGAAATGTATTAACAAATAAGATGTCAAACCGCAAACCGTTGTCACATTTCAAACAAATTTTGACAATCATTACTAATATTGCTTTTATTACAATTATCTATTTTGTCAACTAATCTCTTTTCCCGTGCTGCTAACGGCAGCTAATCGTTTTTGATAATTAAATTTAAATTCTATTCGATAGAAAATGGATCATCAAACAAATTAAAGGAGTCCTTCTCGAAATGATTATCTATTTTGGCAAAAATCTGATCGAGCGTGGATGTTTTTGTTTGTTCATTCGGTGTTTTTGCATCATTTATAGGATTTTTTGAGTTCGACTTTAAATCTGATTTAGGATCTTTCTTAGGAGAAGTTTTTTTCTTCTTAAGTACTTTATACCGATTCTTAATCTGCGTATCTGTTCTACCAGGAAAATGCTTAGCGATCTTTACCCAATGAGGACCAATTTTTGAAACTAAATTCAATAATTTTTGATCCTCATCGACAGTAAAAGGCGTTTTCACAACTTTCGGGGATAAGTTGTAGAACCACCTATCATGACACTGTCTAGCATTTTTAGTTTCCATAATATCAGAAATTTGGTCCCAATCATCAGTTCCATATTTCGCAACTAGACTTTTTAGTGTTTCATCTTCAGTTGCGGTGAACGTATTCTTAGGACCAGAAGGTTGTCTAACAAACCTATTTCTAGGTGCCTCTCTGTTTCGTTTCATTGATAATTGTGATTCTTTTTTGTAATGATTATTAATTGTAAAGCTCATTCAAAATTAAGACATTCAATTTTTTGTGACAAGAATGTAAATTATAGAATAAATAACTATTACAATTCCCGAAAATTTTAGTTAAATATTGCTTATTTCAATATATGATTAATAATGAAATAAAAATGTTTCTCATTGAATCATAAATATTCTTGTAAAAATGATTACTGCAAGTAATATAGATCAATTGTTAAAACGTACTTTTTTATTATTTGATTTCAATTTTTTTCTGAAGAGGAAAATAATTTGGCTAGTACTAATATTTGGTAATATGGAAAATTTACTGTAACGTTGTTTTGAGAAGAAAAAATCACATTCAATCTTGAATATTTGAAGAGTAAAACAAGTACATGTACCCATAATGCATTTCTAATAGTTTTTGTACGATATGTAATCCGTGGCAAAGGATTGAGTTTAAACGATTTAAAGCATAACATTTGCATTCATGTCAGTAAGTATATCAAAAATTAATTCCTATTTTATTGAATTACATTTTCAATTCAGGTTCATTTATTATTTGCACAGGTGTGGACAATTAATGGATATTTGTATTAAATTGTCAAATAACATGTTTGGCTTTAATTTTAAAGTTGTTCTAATAGAATTTTTAGTAAGACTCCAATCCTCATCATTATTTTGCAATATTTAATCAGAAAACCTTTGTAATTAATAATTGTTTTCAAATGAAATCATTTCCTCTCAAATGGGTACTATATTACATGTATATTTAATCAATTATTTTTGGACTGGGAAAGGCTACTTGGTTTCCCAAATATACTGATTGATTGTGGAATTTTCTAATTTTCTTCAATTTGCCCAGATATTTTCGCTTTAGAATGAAATAAATTTTGTGGAGTCGAACATATATGAGCGGGTGAATACTGATTACGGATAGCAAATTTGTGCGTTCGAAATAATTTTGAAATTAAAACGCAAATAAGTACTTAAGGGTGCACCCGTATGTACGTTTATTTGAGAGGAGGAGGATTACCCTCTCAATTTTGAGGGATTCGTTAGTTTATTTTCTCGATGAATATGCAATAAAATTTGATTTTTACCTTATCAATATACTTCATATAATATACACATGTTCATGTAAAAACTTTTTTCCAAAATCCTCAGGAATTAAGGGATTTTTGAATTTTAAGAATTTTTTTCGAATTTTTTCGAAAAAAAAAATACTTTCAGAACAGCCTTAACGGCTAAGATTTAGGAACAATGTTAAGTATCAAAAAGAAAGGAGGTCTGATATAGACAACATATATCGTTGAAGGTTGAAAAAATCTCTAATATTTGAGCCCAAAATTTCAAATTTTAATTTTTTGAAAAAAGAGGCCACCCGTATGTGCGTTTATTTGAGAGGAGGAGGATTATATTTTTGAAAGGGTGAAACATTATGAATATGTTAATTATATAATAATATGTATTATTATAAAAAAGAAAAAATAAAGCACGTTAAAATTTTTCTTTCTTGATTTTTTACAAAATCTACTTAGAATTATGCAAAATATGACTAAATAATTATAAATTTCAAGTTAAATTTTAATTTTGATAAATAATTTAAATTTCAAAATATCAAGTTCAGTTCGACTATGTATGTAGTAATTCCTCAATAAAGTGCCAAAACCCTATTAAAATATATGAACATTTTCAACATTTTAATGTTTTTATTTAAAAATTTGACGGAATATGAGCTTCAAACAATTATTATGTAAATAAAAATAATTAAATATATGTATTTATTCGTATTACAACCGTAGTAAGTCGATTCTTCCTTTCTTCTACTGAGGTTTGAATTTGATTTCGAATTGTAAAGAGATTCAAAGGGAAAATACTAGCGGATAAAAACTACCTCCATGAAAGGGTCATAATGGAGTCAAGTTGTATTTTTTGATATTTTTTGCTTTTCGAGCCTAAATAGGTAGCCAAGATAATGCCTAAAAATAAGGTTCTAAATTCTGAAGTTTACATGATCCTCTCGTGTGCACCCTTAAGGGTGGCTTCCGACCAAATTGTCACTTTTTAGCCCAAGTGAGAAAATTTTGTAATTTATAACCAAGTTTTTTAAAATCTATATTTAATAAAGATTCTATTTTTCTTATTAAATTTCAAAAATGAGGGGGTTCGGAATCGTCCACAAATTGCCGGAGTAGGTGACAAAAGTGCATACTCTTAAACAACCGTCGGATTTCCGGGTGAAATCGTGACACACTTTCGTCTTTCGTAGGCAGTGGTGGTTGTTACAAAAGGTAACTTCGAATGTAGCGTGAAATCTGCAAAAAAATTCTGAAATTTGAATGGAGAACACAAAAATTGAATAGTTTACGTCAATAAAAAAGAGAAAAAATTAAGCCAATGTATCTCGAACCTAGGACGTAGAGCAGCAATCACACTGTTTATCACATTACACTACATGCATCTCTCACCTCAGTGAATGAGATCAACTATATGATAACTTTTTCCCCATTATATTCTTGTGGAAAAGTGACAAATAGCAACTTTGACCCTCTCTCCAAATTGCCGAAAGGGTTTTTGCCAGTTTTGAATCCGCTTATTTTTATCGACCAAAATTATAATAAATATAATTTTCGATAAGTATTCTACCCAAATGATTCTTCAAAAAATTATTTTTTGGATTTTATTCCGTAAAAAACGTTACAGAAAACGCCTAGAAAATTTCGAATTTTCCCTAGAAAATTCAGTGCAGGTCGATTTAAGAGATTTTTCAAAAATAATCATATCAGTAGATAGGGTATAATATAGAGGAGCTTTATGAATAACTTAAAATCCGGGAAACTCAATATTCAACGAGAAAAACGCTTAACGAATCTCACTTTTGGTGTAAACATCACAAAAAATTGAGAGGGCTTTCTGGTCGGAAGCCTCCCTTAAAGAGTTGGTACATGCTAAGGGATCATTTTTCAAAATTCATGAATAAGAATAAAAGAAACGATATCAAGAAAACCGAAAGGAAATTATGGATAAAAATGTTTTAAAATTTCAAACTGACAAATAAAATGAACATTTTGATTCCTTGTTATGCTATATCTACTAAGAAAATAAGATGGTAGCTAAGAAAATTGATCAGATAAAACGTTCAAATTGATATTGAAAATCATAACAGTTTTTTTTATTTCTAATAAAAATGCATCTTATATCATGTATTGTTGATTTCATTTGACATTTTTAGTTTTTGCCAAGTACCGAAAAATGACGTGAAATCAAATAATAGCAAGATCAACTGTATTAATATCTAACACTTTCCATATGATTTATCATTATCAGGATTGGATCAATATCGTCCTGGATAATGTCACCTTTTGAATGTAAACGTGACATTTTTAATGGATCAATTTTTCAGACTCCAATTCCAAACTCCAAGAAAAGCACACCCAAAAGTCAAGTTTACAGTCGAAGATGATGCCAAACTCAAATCCCTCGTCGAAACATACGGTGAAACCGACTGGAACCTTATTTCTCAAAAAATGGAAACAAGAAATCCTCGCCAATGCCGCGAAAGATGGGAAAACTATCTTTCACCAAAAGTAAACCATTCACCATTTACTCCTGCTGAAGACATTCAACTTTTGACGTTATATGAAGAACTCGGAGCGAAGTGGGTTCAGATATCCAAGCGCTTCAACAACAGAACTGATATTAGCGTTAAGAGCAGATGGATGGTATTAAAGCGCAGAAATATAACAAAAGAATCTTTACTCAGCCAAACAGCTCAAAGTGCACAGGAGATTGAAGATAAAGACCTCCAAGAAAGAAGTAATAACGTTGATAAGATTATCAAGCGCTTAGCTAATATAGCAGAGTATTCTGACGACGATTGGCTTCTGTTCGAACCAAATGCCGTCTGCTTTTAAATTACATATTAGCTGCTGATTTTCATTATATCAATTGTTTTTTAATCTTTAAGTTTGGATAAGTCTGTAAATATTCATTCATTTTATTTGGATGCTTTTTGAATGCCTTTGTAAGCTTTCGAGTAAACTTAGTCCTTTTTTCGTATGGAAATTACCTACAAAACTTGTTTCATTTCGAAAAACAATTATATTCTTCAATTTTCCTAGTTTTATCAATGAAATGATAAATACATAAAATGATGAACCTCAATTAATAAGATTTACGGTTTATTTTTCTTTGAACATTTGGATTACAATAAGAAAATTGACGATGAGTCTTTCTTTCAGATATATGTAGCTACTCTTTACAACATTCATGTTTTGACTCTTATTTTTACAATTAATGTCTTTGAAAATTGAAATTAAGGTGATTGTTTCCCTATATATTAAATTCTTCTATTATAAGGTGTTGAAACAATAAGTTCTAACTATATGGCTTTAATTCTAACTATATCTCATTCTATCTTATGTGAAAAAAAAATTTGATATTTGATAATCATTGTTTATAAAGGAAGATACTGAAGTACTATAAACATCTTCAGATTCTTTGCTAGTGGACTCTTCAGAAGACCTCTCTATCATTGATTGAGTTCTAGATTAGAGATTCGAATTGCAATTAAAGCAAAAAGATCTGTTGTAATGGTTATTTGAACATGAATTTCACTTCGAATTTGTTTTTTAATTCTGCCACCGGCAAGATTTTCAATTCTTTTTTTGAATGAATTTTTTCCCCATTCAAATAGAGAATGGAAGGAAAATGCTGTGGCTGTAAAGAAACCAAAACTGTTTACACATTGAGGAAGGGTGTAACTAAATGCGCTGAATGCCAATGCAATCAGGCAGGAATTTCATTTATGAACCTCTTCAAAAAGGCGATTGTTAAAATTCCACCACCAGTCCATGTATTAGTTGCAGTTTCAGGTGGTCCAAGTTCAATGTTTGCATACAATACGCTTACAACTCGTATTGATGTTACAAGAACAAGCAAAACTTCATTTGTCAAGAAGATCGAAGCCATTTCAACAGAGGATTTGCAAATTCCAAATCTTCACCACATAGACAAGTTCACTGTAAAGAATGTAGCTGATTATGCACGTGAACATGATTTTAATTGCGTTGTTCTTGGCGATAACACAGATTTTATTGCATTAAAGTCAATGGGATGCTTATCACAAGGCCGCCCAGACTTATTTTACTGGATTTCTACAGATGATTTTGAGAATTATCCTGGAATTCCAATTCTTCGTCCAGCTCGCCAAATTTTAACCGCTGAAACAGAATTTATCTGCAAACACCGTGGTTTAGAATACAAGAAAGACCTTTCCAAGCTACAAAAAGCCTTCATTGTTGAGGAAAGAATGATCGATACAATTATTGCAGATGGAAATGAGGCCACAACATTTGCGGTTCAGAAAATGGCCGAAAGACTCCCAGTTCCAACTCTTCCTTTCAAATGTCCTCAATGCGGCTTGCCTTTCGACAAAGAAGGCTGCCCATGCGAAATTTGCGCAGCTGAGAATAGAGCATAGATAGAATTTATACTAAAACTTCATTATAGAATTGTTTTATAAAAAATTTATTTTTAATTTTTCATTTCTCATAAAAATCTATATGAAATCATAGCTAATTCGCTTGATTTGAGTATAATTTTAGTATATTTGTTTGTTCGTGAAAGATTTTGAAAATATATGAAATAGAAATTCAACTTGTGTCCATTTATTCCTTGCCATATTACTTACCTTCGTTTGATTAATATATATGTTAATTGCTTTCCTTAAATGATGTATCCGTATTTGATTTGGATGAGAAATTTATTTGATTTTGAAATATTTGATTACGATCGATTGCTCTAACATGATTTCGGATTGGAAACAGCTCAAAATCTTTTCAGTACCTAAGAAATTTTTGACAATGAATGATTTGTTTACTTTTTCTCTTTATTAACTGTGAGAGGGCACGAGTTGTTAACGGAGCAACTACGTTTTATTCAAGCTCCTACATGTATAATGGCACAGAAACTGAATTAGAATTCAATCCTGCTTACGGAAAAATGAAAAGTTTTGATAAGGCCAATTTTTCCAAGATTGATGTCAGTAGGATTCAATTTCAGAGTAATACATCGAGAAATAATAACTTTATCGGAAAATCTTTCGGTGAAATTAAAGAAATTATCGATGAACACCTTACAATTTATCCAGCAAGCCTCCCAAGTCTAGATTTGGATACAATGAGTATAACAAACATAACTCTTTCGCTTGAAAATCGTAAAAAAGACAAAAATATCACAATATTAAGAATTTATTCAACATCTCCTTATATTTTCGTTGAAAAAATCGAGAATGTAACCATTAGATCATATAGATACATTCGATTTTCATTTGCAATCATCCCCCTCGAACCTGGACAATATTCCGCCTTAATTATGATTGAAACTGATATTGGTGTCATTCCTTACCACATGGATTTCAAATCTACGTTAAATCCTGTCATGTACGCGAAACCTCATGAAATTTATCAAATTTATCAACAACCTTACCAATATGTTATAAATATAGCAGCTGCTGTTGATTATACATTCATATTTGACTCATCTGTATTCAATCCAAGCAAATCTACATCTACAATTTGTTCAATAATCTTACAACCGAATTATCTTGAGCCAGGTGACTATTTAACATTTCTTTACTTCATGACAGACATATTTACAAATGTTTTACCTGTTTATTTGCATGTGATTGAAGAAAATTACACTTTTAAACAAGATATCAAGTTATATGTTGGAAATTATCAGTCGGCTGACATCATAATGACTAATCCGTCAGATAAAGATTTATATGTTAACGATATCAGGACAAAAGACCCAAGAATTTTTGTTAAATTGTTAAATAATTCTTTAATTGTGAAATCTCATGAAACAAAGAACATTTCATCAATCGAACTGATATGCCAAGATAGTTTACAGTACGACCACATCAATAATTTCAGTGTTTTCGTTACAGTTAATGGACATTTGAATTTGATCAGAGGAGAGATCATTAATCCGCCGTTAGGGACCCAATTAATTTACTACATTCCCCCTATGAACGATATAACCACGTATTCCCACATAGCAATTGAAAATCAGAATAATTTTTCAATTTTTGTATTTGGAGTAACTTGTAACTTATCTTTCTATGATGTGAAAGAGTTCTCACCATTTGTTCTTGGTCCTAATGAGACTTCCATGGACTTTTTCGTTACTTTGACTGAAGAATTTGATATCACACAAAATCCTTTCTCAATTTCGATATTTACCAATGCATCTGTTTATAACTTTGATATGAATAGGTACCCTATGCCAATAAGAATCGTTTCTGCTACAGATAACATAACAATTTTGGAAAATAACACAATTGACTTCGGAACTGTCCTAAACATGTCATCAATACAGATGTCGTTCAAGGTATTTAATGATAATCACCTTCCGATCCAGTTAAACCAGATTTCTTCAAGTTCAAACGGAGTTACAATCAAATGTCCGAATTTGAGCAAAGATTCCGTTATTAAACCGAATAATTATAAGGTCTACAAGACATATATCATGTTCAATGAGCCTTCAAGGAACACTTCGCAGATTTTTTTCAAATTTAAGCATACAGAGTACAAAATCACCATAAAATGGAAACCTATATGCGGAACAATTAAATTTGATATCATAATAAGCGATAACCTCATTCTTGGCTCTGATTATTATGGAACTGTTATAATTGAGTCGAAATTCCACCATGATATCGAATTAAAGGGAATGCAAACGAATGTCCCTCAACAGGTGAAGCCGCAGTTCCCTCTAAAGCTCAAAAGATACGTAAAAACTCGATTATCAGAATTTATGATCAAATTAGACCCAAGTTTTCCATTTACCAGGGGTTTTTACAGAGTATTATCGAATAGTGATAGTTATGATGCTCAAGAGAAAGCTTGGAAAGCTTTGTGGAAAGACAATTTGTCAATTTCTTTAAATTTCGAGTTTAATATCGGAAATGGCTTCAGTTTCTATACGAGTAAGCGTATAAACATCAGCCATGCAGTATTTCCACCCGGAATCATCGATTACGGAGCGATTCATGCTGATGAAATTTTTGTAAAATCAGTTTACTTAACAAATCCTTTTACAAGGCCTGTAATGTTCAAATTCCATGGTGTTAAGAATGGCACCGATGGAAAATTCAACATCAAGCATGTAAAATCGATAACTTTGCAGCGAAATGAGTCATCCGAGTTTATGTTGACTTTTGAAGGTGCAATACCTGGTAAATGCAACTTCGAAATACCTGTAACTACCAATTGCACCCCTCCTTTTGTAGTAATGGTCCAATCTATCGTCGAATATCCTCGAATTCGGTTTTCGGACATCGACAACATGATAGTATCATCCGTACATTTTGATGCTTCCAACGATGACGAAAAGTACATGAACGAGATTTGGACGCAATGCGTTTACGTAACAAATAACGCGTTAAGTCCGATTTCGATTAATAACCTTTACATCACTCCCAACACGTTTCTGAAGTTTAGAGCTAATAATACTAACCTTCAGCCGTACCAAACTTGCTCTATTTGCTTCGATTTCCTACTTTGGAATTGGGACACAAAAAATACCATGAAAAATTTATCGTTCACAGTTTTAGCGCAACATTATTTATATAGTTTACCAATATATGCTCAAGTCAGTGAGAACGCTATAGTGAGAATTGACGAAGCAATGAAGAAAACTATGAAATTAGTGTCAATTATCGGATTTTTGTCTCCTGTTATATCGTTATTGATTTCCTTTGTCATTTACATATGGTTTAAGATGGAATTGAGCTGGAGAAAGAAGAGAGTTGATAGAGCTGTGAAACATTTCAGTGTAAAGAACTTGAAAGAGGCTGAAATACAGAAGAATGAAGACCCAATTGATCCGAAAGTGGTTTGGCATAGAAAGAGAGGATATAATCCTCATCCTGCCAATGAAACAACATTAGATTTGATTGAAAAAATGCTTGATGTGTAATTTGTTTTTTATATTGTTTATATTTATTTGTGTTTAAATGTAAATAAAGATCTTTATTAATAATATGTAATTCTTTATATTGTATGAGCTCATGAATATTCAAGATAGCTTTTTACGTTATCTTTTGCAAGATCTAGGGCAGTTTTATCTTTATTGTCCTTTGCTTTTTTATCAGCTCTAATAGAAATGAGATATTTAACAACTTCAAAATGGCTATTAATTGATGCATAAATGAGTGGTGTAGTTCCATTTTTATTCTTTGATTCTTTATTAATTCCGCATTCGATGAGATATTTAAGAAGTTTAAGATTTCCTTTTTCACATGATTTGAGTAGGATTTTATTACAAAAATTCTTCATTGTTTTTATTTAATATTTCTTTACACGATACTCCAATTAGAGATTGATCTTCTTTACCAGATATATCATCAAGAAATTTGTAGACTTTTTCAATATCGCTTTGTATGAAGTAACAATTGTAATTATATTTGTTAGATCTTGATCTCAGTAATATCATGATTCATTACAAGATCTTAATATATATACATTTACTAACATATAAAATATGATGATATACTACCATAAACCAAGGTAGTATGATGAAGTGAGAAGAAGAGATGCATGTGTTTTCATATCGTTCTTCATTCGTTTGTTGATAATGTCGACACCAACGAAGTTAGTTTCGATGATGTCATTGCAAATGTTAGATGCCTTGTGGAATGTTGGCGATCCACAGAATGTGTTGTGTTGATAATTTGATCCGACGATGACATTCGTTCCTCGTTCGAAAGAAGGAGAGAAATCAGAGAAATCTTGTGAACCGCAGAAGTAGACAACTCGGACTCTCGTGTTCATGAATGAAGAAGATCCGATGTATTTTGCATGTGAACGAACTCGAAGGACACTTGGAACACTAGTTCCGATGAATGATGAATTTCCGATATATATGACATTATCTGGAACTTGATTGATCTTGAAACAGTTCTTGAATGCGAAGTTGCCGATTCTTTCTACTGAACGTGGAATTATGAAAACAAGTTCACTACAGTCTGTGAATGCATAATCTGAGATATTAACAATTCTCTTGTTTATTGTGACTGATTCAAGATTGGTACAACCATAGAATGTTCCAATAGGGATTATACTATATTCTGATTCTTCAGATAACAACTTCTTTGTGAATTTGAAGTTTGTTGTTGTTGATGAAATGTCAGAGATCTGTTTTATGTAAACACTTCGTAATGTTGTGCAGTTCTTGAAAACATATGATGAGAGAGATACTTTGCAATTGAGGTAGAATGTCTCAATGCTAGAATTGCTGAATACAAATTGTTCAATATTAGAAACAGTTGTGCCTTCTCCGATGTTTATGAATCGGAGACTGAAATTGAAACTTGAGAATGCATCTGTGCAAATGGATTCGATGTTCAAGTTTGGCATTATGTTCACTGTCTCTATTGATGGGGCACCTCCGAAACACAAAGAATTGATACGAGTATATGAGTCTGGGATTGTGTAGTTCATCAGAGATGTACAACCTGAGAACGCTGTGTCGCTAAGAGATGACATCATTGAGTGTGACTCAAATGTTATGTTAGAAAGAGATTCACAATTTTTGAATGCATTTTCTCTGATTGTCGTGCAGTTCGCTGGGATATTGATCGTGTTAAGTTTCTTGCAGTTTGAGAATATTGTCACACCAAGAGCCTTCAGTGCACAGAACTTACCAAATGTGAATGTTGTTAACGATGTGCAATCTGAAAATATTGAGTCATAATCTAAATTGGCGAGTGCATAGTCTGGGAATGTGATGATAGAAAGATTTGTACAACCTGAAAAAGCATTTTGCATAACTGTTTTCAATGATGTCGGGAGATCAACTCTGAAAAGTGCTGTACATGAGTAGAATGTACCATCTTCAATAGTCTCAAGTTTACAACCATCTTCAAATGTCAAATCTCGAAGTTTGCTACACCCATAGAATGCATTAGATTTGATTACAATAATATAGTTGTATATCAGTGCAGACTCTTTTCCTCCTGGACAACAAACGAGTTTGAGTTTATCGATAGTGTATACAATTCCTTCTCTACATGTATAGTACTCGTTTGAAGGTGGAACAATGATACTGACTAAACTTGAACAATATACAAATGCAGATGGTTCAAATGATGAAACCGTTGATGGAATTGTAATAGTTGGTAATGATGTGCATGATTTGAAAACACCACCTCCAAGAGATGGTAAATTTGTTCCTGCTGCAAATGTGACTGATTTCAAACTTTCACAATACTGGAATGCATTTGTTCCGAGAAATGTCAGTGTTTTTGGGAATGATATTGAATTTAATTCTGAATATTGAAAGGCCAATTCATTAATTTCTGATAATTTAGAATCAGAAGGAATTGTAAAACTTGTCATTGAATTAGTTTCGGAAAAGCATCTTGAGCCTAAAGAATTTACATTTTTAGGTAATATAATACTTTTCAATTTGTAACATCCATTGAATGTCTGAGCATTTATCGTTGATAATGGGCAATTTGCATCAAATGTTACTGTTTCTAATTCTTTTGCATCTATGAATGAAACCCATTCAATTGTTTCAAGATTTCTGCCAAAGTGAATTTCTTTCAAACTGCTATAAGCAAATGACCACTCTTCAAGTTTTTTGGACCATTTCCATTTAAAGTCACATATTGTACAGTTGATCCATAAAAACAGTTCCGACAAAAAGTCATAACAGATGCAGGGATATTTATTCTCTGAAATGTTGTTCCTAAAAATGAATATACACCAATTTCGGTTAATCTTGAACTTAATGTTATTGCTTGTAAATTTTTGCACTTAAAGAAACAATAAGAGCCAATTATTGTGCATTCAGATCTTAATGATACTGATGTGATTCCACCAATACAGCATTTGGCTGTATTATAACCTTTATCATAAACAATTCCACCACTAGCATCAAATTTTGTGTTTGAAGAATCTGTTTTGATACTTGTCATTGATGTGCATGCTTGAAATACAGTTGCACCAAAACTGCTAACTGCTGATGGTATTGTGAAACTTTTCGTGGAAGGTGGAATAAATAATACTACCGATTCATCTCTTGTCATAATAGCTGAAGATTTTGATTTATATACAGGATTATTTGGATCGATTTCGATTGTTTGAATGCTCATTGTGGATCCAAATGCTTGAACATCGATACTTATCACTGAAGCTGGTATATAAATATACGTAATATAATCATCAAGATAAAATAAATCATATGCAATTGTTGTGCATTTTGGAGGAATAATAAACCTTGAAATCTTTGTATTATAAAATGCCATTCCGTCAATAGTGTCCAACAGAGATCCTTCTTCGAATTCAATCGTTTCTAATTTATTGTCTTCTAAAAATGCTTGATAAGCTAATGTTCTAACATTTTTTGATATAAAAACATACTGCAAATTTCTATTCCATTGCCAAAATGATATCCGTTCCAATTTACAGCCTTTTTCCATGATAAGTCTCGAAAATTTGCATTGAATAAAATTATTAGTATTCGCAGTTCTAATGTTTTTTGAAATAGTAAATGTTCCATAAATTGTCAGCATAAAAAACGCATAATCATCAATTATTGTTGTTTCTGGAGGAAATTCAAAAGTTTCGAGAATGCAAGGTGCTCTTATTAATTTATTCTTTCCTTTTGTATATAATGCACTGTATCTATCTGTTTCTAAATAATCGCTTCCTTTAGGAAGGTAAATATGAGCCAGAACAAAACAATAATATAAATCAAATCCTGTTATTGATTTTAAGGTCGATGGGAGGTAAATAGCTTGAAGTGAGTAAAAGTAGTAGAAAGTTCCATATTCTAATTCATTGCATCCTTCTCCAAGATGAATAATGGTAATTGAATAACGATCACAGTTTTGTTTTACCAAACTGGCAGTAAGTTTTCCGCTACCTGTGATATATAGTGTCGTTTTCTTGGTCTCAAATGTGAATGCATTGGATAGATAAAACAATAGAAGTAGCATTAAAAACTCTGAAAAAATCTGGAAAATAAAAGTATCATATAATGATGTATTGTTATAAGATCAATAATCTTAAAAACTAGTATCGCTCTGAAAATAATGATGGTTTGAGGAAAAATTTTGTGAATAAATAATCAATTCAATCGAAATTTTGATAAAAAAAGTTGCTGTTTTTAATGCATTGGACATCGGATCTTAAAAACAGTTTTTTCAGAATAATTTGAAAGCAAAATTAATCAACATGTCAGAATTTGGAAATCATTTGATCTGAAAAATGAAAATATGTTTAGTATTTGATGAGGAGAACAGAAATGTTTCTTTCAAAATATGACCATTTAAACGACGATAGACAATTCAAAAATATATATTTTTATTGAATGAAAAGCAACGAAAAATCCAATGATAATTTATATGAAAAATGTACTGGATATTTACTGTATTTTAGGTTTATATGAACATCCATTTGATTATCCAAGATTTTGAACAATGAATTTGGAACATTCCAAAATCTTATGATTTATTAAGTATTTGAATATATTAATAATAGTAATTGGTGGTTCATTGTCTATTTTATTGAAATAGATTGAATTTAAAACACCAATAATTTGATTGTTCATAGATTAGTTATTATTTAAAATAAGATAATGGTATCGACGCAAATTTTGAAGTTACTTTATATTTGGAAAGATTCCTTTGGAAGGAATTTTGGAGGATATACTATATTTATACTAAATGGTAAATATTATATGATACAATATTTAAAATTAATAGCGAAATATAAAACAATCGCTCATTGGCAATTTGATATTTAATTTCAAACGGAGTAAGCAATTACAGAAAAAGTACTGATGTGGCTTTTTGATGAGGTAAAAGGTGAATGATTTATTATTCTGGATAAATTCATTCGAAATATTAAAAATTAGTCTTAACCTTTTTCTCAAATCCAATAAAATTTGAAATAACTTCCATCAAATGAAGCCAATTCAAGTATTTTCAAATAAGAATTAAGCTGAATCATCTATAATCAAAAATAAAAAAAGCTCGGTCACCGGGAATCGAACCCGGATCAAAAGAACGACAATCTTACATGATAACCATTACACTATGACCGATTCACGAAAATATTTTTTCCGTTTATGGCCTAATAAAAATTATTTGATTTTATTTCATTGAAAACATTGTTTAATTCTATAATGCATCTATTTTAATCTATCTTGGTTTCAATCTTTAATAAAATTTTTAATCATTTACTTAACTAATCACAATCTTCATTGATTTCTCCATTTTACAATAATCAAATTATTGGTTGATAAACTACATCTTTAGCAAATTTAATTTGTACAAGTCATTTTCATTAATGGTAAGATGAGTGAAAATAAAGAGATAAAATCCTTGATACAATTATATTTATCGGGTTCAACATCTGATGTTAATGCTATAGAATCCACACTTACACAAATTATTAATCTTCCGTCATCATTACAAGAGATTTTGGAATTATTTGATTCAAATGATGAGAGAGTTCTCAATATATTATTCATATTATTAGAAAATTATTTAAAAATATATGGTAAAGATCAAATTTACCAAGTATCACAGCCAATTATCAATACCCTTTTACCTATTTTTAGAAAATTCACAACGAAATTAGCAATTTCAATATTTAAGATTATAGAAAATGTCTGTATTGCAAGTTCTGACTTTGATATCATTCTCCAGACATTCAAAACTTTAATATCCGAAAATGATATTTTTCATTCAAGTTACTTAGCATTGATATTGAGTGAAAACGGTTATTTATCAGCTAATGACCAAATGGATATCATTAAAATGTCCATTATCGATGAAAATATTTCATCGAATTCAAACAGCTTAGTTTTACTATTTTTGCTGTTCAAAAACCAAGAAAATGAAAATTTGGATTATTTTGTATCAGAATATGTTCAATTATTTATTCAAAGACTCCAAAAATCAATAATTAATCAAAATTCTTCGGATTTTCAAGATTTATGTCAGTTTATTGATATTTGTTCTGATAAGCAATACAATATCTTTCCATTTCATTTATTTTATCCAATAATTAAAGAAATTTTACAAAATAATTTTCCAAATTTGATGAAAATCAGTTCCTTTGTTTTACTTGGTTCACTTTCAACAATATTTATTAATGATATAGATGAAAATGTTGCTTTAGAGATTTTGTCCATTTCTTTTCAAGTTTTATTGGAATTATATGATGATTCACTTGATTTCAACAATCAATGCATAGAAGTATCATCAACATTGTTTGTAAACATGTTTGAAGTGATCAAAAGAGATTTAACAGCAGATTTTGTTCTGAATTCTTTTGAAAATTTATTTTCTTGTGAAATTCAAGAAAATCATCTTATTTCAGTTCTTTTCATAATGAATATCGCACAGACATTGTATCCCAATGTTTTTAAGTCATTTTACCAAAAAATTATTGAATTTATTATTGATATTCTCAAAAATGGTTCAAATAATGCTATTTGTTATTGTTGTTCATTGGTTTTATCTATTGTTCATTCAAAACAGTTCATTTCTGAACTGAATCCAAAAGATTTTTCAGATTTTATTTTAGAACTCTTTATAGAAACGAACAATGATATGTTTGCTGAAGTTTTATGTGAAATGTTGCCTATTGTTATTGATTCCAATGTTTTTGAAGAATATTTAAGAAAATTATTTGAAAATTATTGTGAAGAAGCATCATATTGCAAAATTATTTGTTCATTGTTAGTTTTGGACTCAAATAGTACGAATTTGTTCTTTGATGACATTTTTAATTTGATATCAAATTTGATATCAACAAAAAACGAAAATAGTATGATATCTGCATCGTTATTACTAATATCTTTGACAAAGACATCTGTTGAGAAGCTTTCTCCTTATTTAAATGATTTAATTGAATTTAATCATTTATTTTTGACAGACGATAGCGATTGGGAGATAATAAAGCATGGATTAATGTTGTTTAAGGCTATTCTTTTTTGTTTCAAAGAAAGTGTTGCAGAATTTACTCAAGAAATTTTTAATTATTTAATTTCTGATATAATGGAGCAGATTGAAACGAATTATGATGTATCATTGACTAAGCAGATAATTGGAATTGAAGCTGACGTTATTCAGTCTTGTTTTTCTGTATTTAATGATTTGATTCAAAATCAAACTGAAATTTTGATGTTAATATTTAAGTTTTTAGTTAGTAGTAATGATTTGATAATGATTGGATGTAGTTTTGGTATAGAATTGATAAAATCTTCTCATTCTCAAGAAGAAGTATTCCAGAATGTGTTTGTTACTTTGTTTGAAGGATTTACTAATGGTTCGAATGATAATTTGGAGTGTTTTGCAAAATCTTTGTCAGAATTAATTAATATTATGCCAGAAAACACTTTTCAAGAAGAACTGAAAGAGATTTTTATGTTCTCGTTAGAGCAGATAAAGAAACTTGAGAGATTATCTGTAACAAAGTCAAATTTTATTGATTTAATTGAAATGATTTCCAAAAAAGTGTCAGAGATCGAATTCATAGCAGCACAACTTAATCAAACTATTGGACAACTTTTATCCATAAAAGGACATCTATTTTTGCAACTTTTGTCCAAAATTTCAAAATTTACTTTTATTGAAGACGAATTCTTCAAAATTGCGATTTCTGATTCCATCACTGCTATTATTTCGTCAAACTCTCGAAATTTACATGAGCAAATACTACTCCTCTTTAATTCTGCAATAAATAAAAGATTTGATGAGGAAAATATACAAAATTTCATGGGCTGTTTAGATATAATTGACAATATATGTGATCAGGATAGTGATTACATTGTATTTATCGCAATTAGACTTGTTATTTCGTATAAATTACAAATTGACTCAAAAATTATACAAATTTTGTTAGAGCATATCATTCCAAAGTCAGAAACGATGTTTATTTCATCGTTCTGTGCATTTCCTTTGTTTATTTTCCCTGTTTCTGATTCAATTTCGGATATTTTCAATAGATCTCTTATTCAGATATTGACTTACTACGAACCAAAGACATTAATTCAACGCCTAACGCCAACATGTGTATTAGGTTTAGTTGAATTGTTTATTCTCACTTTCAAAGAAAATATTCAAATTGATATTGAACGTCAGAAGCAACTTAGAATTCTTATCGAATGGTATTGTTGTAAACAGAAATTCATCAAAAGTGACACCTCAGAAAAGCTAAAATATTGAATTTTTGGAACTTTTGATAGAGCACGTTTTTAAATATTAATTTAAGTAAATGTATATTTTGTAAAGATTCTTTTTAATAAAAAAATAAAATTTTGAAGGAGAACACAAAATCTTCTGAAAATAATATCACATAAACTCATATTATTTTCTAATATATAACTATTTTATATAAAAATCAAATTCAATGATCTTAAAGCGAAGGATAAACCTCAAAATTTACGAATATAATGAGTGGTAATATAATGCTTATCTATCATAAAACAATATGAAATATTCCCACTCATTATATTCGTAAATTTTGAGGTTTATCCTTCGCTTTTAAGATCATTGAATTTGATTTTTATATAAAATAGTTATATATTAGAAAATAATATGAGTTTATGTGATATTATTTTTCAGAAGATTTCATTCTATATGCCTATGAAAAGTACTCTCAAAACTAACTTTTTCCTAATTATAATTAAATCTAGAATATTGTATTATGCTTAGTATTATTTCATTTTTCTCATTCAATTTAGAATTTACAAATGTCAAAAAATTGAGAGCTGTCACTTTTGATGAATTTCTGTTTATTACAGTATAACCAATATAAACATGCAAATTGATAATTTTAATTTTTTTTATTTATTTATTTGAGGGGATAGAATTATAGACCCTGAATTTTATTAAATTTTCCACTAAAAAAAATAAAATCATGAGTTATGATCATAATTATGATCATATATTCTTCAGTACACCAACAGAATTAGACCCTGATAAGCTTTTTGTTGGTAAAATAACCGAAACTCGTGATGTTACAGACCCATATATTGCATTACAAAATGATGTGAAATCCCAAATCGAATCGCTTAAAAACAGCTTAATAACGGAGTTCAAAATGTCGGATGAGCCAACATACAATACTTATCTCATTAATTTATCAAAGGCAATTTCAGATTTATTAGATCTGAAAAAAAATGAAGTCTATGTTCAGTACAAATCAGAAGAGATTCTCAGGAACAACGCATATCTCAATAACAGAATCAAGGACATGCTTAATTTATGCCAAATACAATTCAAATACAACCAATTAAGGTCTGAACTTGCAGAAGCGTACAATTACTTTGATCTTTCACGAGCCATGTGTCTGAAATCAGAAATGGTTAAGATGCAAATAGAAAGTATTAAACTTTCCAAAAAAGATGAGTTAATCAAGAAATTTGATTCACCACAAGCGATTTTTAATGAAGCAATTGATAATCTGTTGAAACATCCTAACTCTACACTACTTTTCAATCTTCTTGCTTACACAAAAAATAAATCCGCAATTTCTGACAAAATTCAAAGAATTATCTCTAACAAAGAGGGCAAAATCGAGTGGAAACCAGAATACGTGATTAGTGTTGGTGAAATACTAACAATTTTCGAAAGTATGAGTTCGATTTTCCCAGATGCAGTTAATTCATTCCAACCTTTAAAGGAATCACATTCAACAGTCGTACGAAACCTTAATAAGTTTAATTTGAACAATCTCTTGGCCATGGAAAAGTCTAAATACATGAAATTAAAAGAATTTAATTTATCTACGATTCTTTTCAACAATAGTTTCTTTACACATGATGCAAGGGAAGTTTTTAACAATCTCAAGGAACTAAAAAGGATGCAAATGTTTGCTTATGTCGGAATTTCATTTATTATTCAGAAAAACTCTGGAAATGAATTCAAAGAAGTAAGAGAAGAGCTCAAAAGGATACTTGGTAATTACGCGAAGAACCTGGATCTAAAAGAGAAGTATGTTGCAGAATTATCCCAATTATTCCCTCCAGGAACCATTAACAATGAAAATGCACGTATTACTGCGTCATACTTAGTCGATATATCATTGAAACTTCTCGAAAGTAGGGATTACCAAGTAAATAAGAATGATTTCAATACAACGGGAATTCTTTATTTTTGAATAAAAAATTTTCCGCGGTTTAACTCAAATTTTTTTCAATTTTTTCTATGTTTACGGAAATATTTTTAAATTTGATAGAAAACTTTTAGTTATTACATCAAAATAAAAACATATAAACTAGTAGGGTTTATCCTGAGAAAGTTTTTATTTCTTAATGTTCTACAGAAATTTTTGATGATTTCAAATTCGCCAAATAATTCAAATTTAGAAAGGCACCAATGATACCCTCCATAAAGGCTTGGTTCGGACGTTGTAAATTTTAATCCTCGACATTTTGTGATATTATTCACTGGAATGGTAGCTTTTTGATTGTAATCAGTGAATATATTATCATTCTGAAAAGAATCAATGATATCCCACTGTAATGTATCAAAGCATGATAAATTCCAAGAGTTTGCAAAGTATTTATGAGTATATTTGCCATAAAATATAGTATAATTAGTCAAATAAATGTAAGCATTTGATAATACTATACTAAATTCGCGTACAGTTTCATTGGTTGAGCACCAAAGACGGGATTTTGTTTTATTAAAAACGTAAGCAATATCTCTATCCTGATCGGTTTGAATCAGGAATGTTGAACTCGCTGTAAAACCAAAATATTGTGGATAACGACTAATAATACCATCTAAACTTCCATTATATTGAGGAAGAAGTAACGTTATGACAAAATTTATTCAATTAACAATATGATGTGAATCTATTTAATTTAACGCAAACTATATAAAAAATAAAATTTTCAAAATTGAGTTTCCACTAATTAATCCGTAAATCTTCTCAATTTTATTTCGGAAACAAAAATAAATTATCTTTCCCTCTGAAATTATTCAATTGTTTTTATACTTCCGACTTTTTTTTCTTCGGAGATGAGTTTTGGAACCAAATTAGTATTAAATAGTAAATTTAAATCATTAAATAAACTGCTAGCAGCTGGGAAATATGATGAAGCACTAGCTAAACTCGAAGATATATCGGATTCGCTTTCTATTTCATTTGTTGACCCAAAAAACAAAAATTCCATCATGACTCTTCTTTTAAACAGTTGTCTCCCATTGATATCTCACGAAAATCCAGAAATACATACATGTGCACAGAATATTCTTAACCATTGGTCTTCAATTGTATCATCATTTTATCCTAAGGCTTTTCTTGATGCATTTTCGAATATTGATGTATCTCAACTCAAAAGTGAATCATGTTCAGCTATATTTTCCTTCTTTTCTAACGCTTTGCGCTGCATTCATCAAGATAATCGTAATGAATACCTTAACATTCTTAAATCTTTATTGCATTCATCAAAACCAGAGTTACTTGTTGGTATATCAATTAATATATGGTCTTTTCTTAGAGATCCTCTAACAATTTCAGATATAAATTCAATTTTACAATTATTTATGAATTCTTCGCTTGCAGAAGAAGCAGCATTTCTATGTGAGAAGTCTCCTGACCCTCTTTACAACACAATTCTTGAAAAAGCAAATTTTGAATTTATTAAGAAAACTTTACAATACTGGCCATTAACAAAACAAGTAAATTTATCTATATTAGCACCACGTTTGATCACAGCTTTTGAAAACAATGATTCGTCTGAAATTTCCATTACAATTGAAATTTTAAATCAATTAGTACAAAGAGTCAATAAACTATCCGAGATTGATTATGAAGAGCAATGGGAGCAACTAATAACTCATTGCCAGAAACTTTTTGAGAGTTCTGCAACAATTGAACAAAAAGCATCATTAATTGACCTTTTTTCTTCAGCCTCCTTCATTCCGAAATCATCCCTCGAGCATTTGCTAATCTTTGAACAAAATATTCCCACTCCAATCAAAATTTCAATAATGAAACTTTGTTCTCACTTCATTTGCGAAGGAAAGTTACCAAAAGGACTTCTTGAGTTTATAGACGAACAGGTTGTGCAAAGAGATCCCCTTGTTTTCGTATCAATTCTCGATTTTCTTTCAATATCTTTTAATGATCTCCACAAATTATCACCACAACCAATAGAAAACATCTTAAACCACTCTCTTACACCATTATCTCAATCCCCCGTAGAGCAAATCTCAATTTTACGCCTTTTACAGTCAATAGATTACAAAAATACAGGAGTTAATATAGATATTGTGTCAATAGTACTTAATTTACTTGATAATCCTGATCAATCTTTATTCCCTGAGCTTAAAAAGACAATAATAAAATTAAAATTAGAATTACCACTGAGACAACTCAATTGGACGAGAGATACGGCGATGCTTCTCCAAGTTATACCAAAAGTCCATTCATCTTTCATCAATGAACTGTTTGAAATTGGAAAAATTACTCCATCAACTTTTCCATCAGCTGTCAATGCCATTATGAACAATTTTCCGGATGACGAAACAGCAGATGATTTCGCAAAAAGTGTTCTCTCGGTGATAGCAATTGCTTTTGCTGAAATAGGACTAGATTATAGCAGAAAATTAAAGCATTGGTTCATTAATAACTGGAGATACTTCACTAATCAAATAAATGAATCGGTCAAAGACATTAACAAAAATCTCAAACAAACAGATTATGGAAATATTTTATTATATTCTCTTCAACTGTTTGTAAAATGCATGAATGACGGTTATTATGGGTTCCAATATATAGAAGCATTGTATTCATTAGCTATTGACATTGCTCCAGCTTTCTGTGACGAAGCTTGCAAAATTGTTGTTTTTCTTCACAAAATATTTAGAGAATCTAAAGATTACAGTGATAAAAAGAAGAAAAAGAGAGTGGATGAACTTATAACTTTGTTCTTTTCTCAATCTCTTCCTTTCGATTGTTCGAAAGAAATTGCAAAGGCCGCAATGGAGTGTTTACCTCGAGAAAATGTTATGAAATGCATTCCAAACTATTTAGTAGAGAGTATTCTTATATCACCTGAGATTCTTCAATGGTATTTGAGTGGAGATAGTAATGAAATGCCTCCCATTTCCCCTGTTTTCATTCAAATCGAAGATAAAGATGAAAAAACGCATAATTACATCAATCAATGTGTCAAAGATTTACTATTTAATGAATGGAAATTAACTGATAATTCAGGTGAAAAGATCGAAAAAATGCAGGGAATTGTTGTTCAAAGTTATTATCAATTAGATTATACGCATCGTAAGTTTGTTGATCAATATCCTTCTAGTTTCGTAATCCAGCAACAGAAGAAAGAAAAACATGATATCAATATCAAGATCGACATCAAAGCTTCATCCATTTTATCATAAAATAGAAAATATTATTGATTAGAAAAGTAATTAACAGAACTTCTACAAATCTGTGTAATATAATACATGAAAGATTCACTTTTAAATTTTACTTAGTAAAATATTTCATCCTTGTTATATAATAAGTTTACCCTTTTTTCACTAAATGTTTCACAACAATCATAGTCTTATTGTAGTTTCATAACAATCATAGTCTTATTGTAGTTTCATAACAACCACAGTCTTATTGTAGTTTCATAACAACCACAGTCTTATTGTAGTTTCATAACAATCATTGTCTTATTGTAGTTTCATAACAATCATTGTCTTATTGTAGTTTCATAACAATCATTGTCTTATTGTAGTTTCATAACAATCATAGTTTTATTGTAGTTTCATAACAATCATTGTCTTATTGTAGTTTCATAACAATCATTGTCTTATTGTAGTTTCATAACAATCATTGTCTTATTGTAGTTTCATAACAATCATAGTTTTATTGTAGTTTCATAACAATCATTGTCTTATTGTAGTTTCATAACAATCATAGTTTTATTGTAGTTTCATAACAATCATTGTCTTATTGTAGTTTCATAACAACCAGAGTCTTATTGTAGTTTCATAACAACCACAGTCTTATTGTAGTTTCATAACAATCATTGTCTTATTGTAGTTTCATAACAATCATAGTTTTATTGTAGTTTCATAACAATCATTGTCTTATTGTAGTTTTATAACAATCATTGTCTTATTGTAGTTTCATAACAATCATAGTTTTATTGTAGTTTCATAACAATCATAGTTTTATTGTAGTTTTATAACAATCATTGTCTTATTGTAGTTTTATAACAATCATTGTCTTATTATAGTTTCATAACAATCATAGTTTTATTGTAGTTTCATAACAATCATAGTTTTATTGTAGTTTCATAACAATCATAGTTTTATTGTAGTTTCATAACAATCATTGTCTTATTGTAGTTTCATAACAATCATTGTCTTATTGTAGTTTCATAACAACCAGAGTCTTATTGTAGTTTCATAACAACCACAGTCTTATTGTAGTTTCATAACAATCATTGTCTTATTGTAGTTTCATAACAATCATAGTCTTATTGTAGTTTCATAACAATCATTGTCTTATTGTAGTTTTATAACAATCATAGTCTTATTGTAGTTTCATAACAATCATTGTCTTATTGTAGTTTCATAACAATCATAGTTTTATTGTAGTTTCATAACAATCATAGTTTTATTGTAGTTTCATAACAATCATAGTTTTATTGTAGTTTCATAACAATCATAGTTTTATTGTAGTTTCATAACAATCATTGTCTTATTGTAGTTTTATAACAATCATTGTCTTATTATAGTTTCATAACAATCATAGTTTTATTGTAGTTTCATAACAATCATAGTTTTATTGTAGTTTCATAACAATCATAGTTTTATTGTAGTTTCATAACAATCATAGTTTTATTGTAGTTTCATAACAATCATAGTTTTATTGTAGTTTCATAACAATCATAGTTTTATTGTAGTTTCATAACAATCATAGTTTTATTGTAGTTTCATAACAATCATAGTTTTATTGTAGTTTCATAACAATCATAGTTTTATTGTAGTTTCATAACAATCATTGTCTTATTGTAGTTTCATAACAATCATTGTCTTATTGTAGTTTTATAACAATCATTGTCTTATTGTAGTTTCATAACAATCATAGTTTTATTGTAGTTTCATAACAATCATAGTTTTATTGTAGTTTCATAACAATCATTGTCTTATTGTAGTTTTATAACAATCATTGTCTTATTATAGTTTCATAACAATCATAGTTTTATTGTAGTTTCATAACAATCATAGTTTTATTGTAGTTTCATAACAATCATAGTTTTATTGTAGTTTCATAACAATCATAGTTTTATTGTAGTTTCATAACAATCATAGTTTTATTGTAGTTTCATAACAATCATAGTTTTATTGTAGTTTCATAACAATCATAGTTTTATTGTAGTTTCATAACAATCATAGTTTTATTGTAGTTTCATAACAATCATAGTTTTATTGTAGTTTTATAACAATCATTGTCTTATTGTAGTTTCATAACAATCATAGTTTTATTGTAGTTTCATAACAATCATAGTTTTATTGTAGTTTTATAACAATCATTGTCTTATTGTAGTTTTATAACAATCATTGTCTTATTATAGTTTCATAACAATCATTGTCTTATTGTAGTTTCATAACAATCATAGTTTTATTGTAGTTTCATAACAATCATTGTCTTATTGTAGTTTCATAACAATCATAGTTTTATTGTAGTTTCATAACAATCATTGTCTTATTGTAGTTTCATAACAACCAGAGTCTTATTGTAGTTTCATAACAACCACAGTCTTATTGTAGTTTCATAACAATCATTGTCTTATTGTAGTTTCATAACAATCATAGTTTTATTGTAGTTTCATAACAATCATTGTCTTATTGTAGTTTCATAACAACCAGAGTCTTATTGTAGTTTCATAACAACCACAGTCTTATTGTAGTTTCATAACAATCATTGTCTTATTGTAGTTTCATAACAATCATAGTTTTATTGTAGTTTCATAACAATCATAGTTTTATTGTAGTTTCATAACAATCATAGTTTTATTGTAGTTTCATAACAATCATAGTTTTATTGTAGTTTCATAACAATCATTGTCTTATTGTAGTTTCATAACAACCACAGTCTTATTGTAGTTTCATAACAACCACAGTCTTATTGTAGTTTCATAACAATCATAGTTTTATTGTAGTTTCATAACAATCATAGTTTTATTGTAGTTTCATAACAATCATTGTCTTATTGTAGTTTCATAACAATCATAGTTTTATTGTAGTTTCATAACAATCATAGTTTTATTGTAGTTTCATAACAATCATAGTTTTATTGTAGTTTCATAACAATCATTGTCTTATTGTAGTTTTATAACAATCATTGTCTTATTATAGTTTCATAACAATCATAGTTTTATTGTAGTTTCATAACAATCATAGTTTTATTGTAGTTTCATAACAATCATAGTTTTATTGTAGTTTCATAACAATCATTGTCTTATTGTAGTTTCATAACAATCATAGTCTTATTGTAGTTTCATAACAATCATTGTCTTATTGTAGTTTCATAACAATCATAGTTTTATTGTAGTTTCATAACAATCATTGTCTTATTGTAGTTTCATAACAATCATTGTCTTATTGTAGTTTCATAACAATCATAGTCTTATTGTAGTTTCATAACAATCATTGTCTTATTGTAGTTTCATAACAATCATTGTCTTATTGTAGTTTCATAACAATCATAGTCTTATTGTAGTTTCATAACAATATGATTTTTGGTTTCATTATTTCATTGTAGTTTCATAGTTGTCTTTTGTAGTTTTACACTTTTGTTTTAAACAATCATAGTTTTATTGTAGTTTCATAACAATCATTGTCTTAGTAGTTTTATAACAATCATTGTCTTATTGTATAGTTTCATAACAATCATAGTTTTATTGTAGTTTTACAATCATAGTTTATTGTAGTTTCATAACAATCATAGTTTTATTGTAGTTTCATAACAATCATAGTTTTATTGTAGTTTCATAACAATCATAGTTTTATTGTAGTTTCATAACAATCATAGTTTTATTGTAGTTTCATAAAATCATGTTTATTGTAGTTTCATAACAATCATAGTTTTATTGTAGTTTCATAACAATCATAGTTTTTGTAGTTTCATAACAATCATTGTTTTATTGTAGTTTCATAACAATCATTGTCTTATTGTAGTTTTATAACAATCATTGTCTTATTGTAGTTTCATAACAATCATAGTTTTATTGTAGTTTCATAACAATCATAGTTTTATTGTAGTTTCATAACAATCATTGTCTTTATTGTAGTTTTATAACAATCATTGTCTTTATTATAGTTTCATAACAATCATAGTTTTATTGTAGTTTCATAACAATCATAGTTTTATTGTAGTTTCATAACAATCATAGTTTTATTGTAGTTTCATAACAATCATCATAGTTTTATTGTAGTTTCATAACAATCATAGTTTTATTGTAGTTTCATAACAATCATAGTTTTATTGTAGTTTCATAACAATCATAGTTTATTGTAGTTTCATAACAATCATAGTTTTATTGTAGTTTCATAACAATCATAGTTTTATTGTAGTTTTATAACAATCATTGTCTTATTGTAGTTTCATAACAATCATAGTTTATTGTAGTTTTATAACAATCATTGTCTTATTGTAGTTTTATCATTGTTTTATAGTTTCATAAAATCATTGTTTATTGTAGTTTCATAACAATCATAGTTTTATTGTAGTTTCATAACAATCATTGTCTTATTGTTTATAACAATCATTGTCTTATTGTAGTTTCATAACAATCATAGTTTTATTGTAGTTTCATAACAATCATTGTCTTATTGTAGTTTCATAACAACATAGTCTTATTGTAGTTTCATAACAACACAGTCTTATTGTAGTTTCATAACAATCATTGTCTTATTGTAGTTTCATAACAATCATAGTTTATTGTAGTTTCATAACAATCATTGTCTTATTGTAGTTTCATAACAACAGAGTCTTATTGTAGTTTCATAACAACCACAGTCTTATTGTAGTTTCATAACAATCATTGTCTTATTGTAGTTTCATAACAATCATAGTTTTATTGTAGTTTCATAACAATCATAGTTTTATTGTAGTTTCATAACAATCATAGTTTTATTGTAGTTTCATAACAATCATAGTTTTATTGTAGTTTCATAACAATCATTGTCTTATTGTAGTTTCATAACAACCACAGTCTTATTGTAGTTTCATAACAACCACAGTCTTATTGTAGTTTCATAACAATCATAGTTTTATTGTAGTTTCATAACAATCATAGTTTTATTGTAGTTTCATAACAATCATTGTCTTATTGTAGTTTCATAACATCATAGTTTTATTGTAGTTTCATAACAATCATAGTTTTATTGTAGTTTCATAACAATCATAGTTTTTATTGTAGTTTCATAAAATCATTGTCTTATTGTAGTTTTATAACAATCATTGTCTTTATAGTTTCATAACAATCATAGTTTTATTGTAGTTTTCATAACAATCATAGTTTATTGTAGTTTCATAACAATCATAGTTTTATGTAGTTTATAACAATCATTGTCTTATTGTAGTTTCATAACAACATATATTTATTGTAGTTTCATAACAATCATTGTCTTATTGTAGTTTCATAACAATCATATTTTATTGTAAGTTTCATAACAATCATTGTCTTATTGTAGTTTCATAACAATCATTGTCTTATTGTAGTTTCATAACAATCATTACTATTGTAGTATTCATAACAATCATTGTCTTATTGTAGTTTCATAACAATCATTGTCTTATTGTAGTTTCATAACAATCATTGTCTTATTGTAGTTTCATAACAATCATTGTCTTATTGTAGTTTCAAAATCTCGGGTCCAAATTCTAAGAAAAACTGAGAGCAAAGTGTTCATTTTTGGGCCCTTGATTTTCTGAATTCAATGCTATTCTTCATTTTTGTGAGTTGTAAAGAAGATGAAGATTTCAATGTAAAAATATTTTTAATAAAAAAACGTATTTACAATAATAAAATCTACAAAAATAAAAATAAATCTAAGCAGAAGCGAAATTCTTCTGAAGAAGATCCAAAAATGGTCTTGCATTTTCAACAGTTTCGAATTTCTTCATTACATCGCTAAGTCTTTCAAGGCTTTTGACTTCAGCAGCTCCTTCTGGTCTCAAACTTCTCATTGTAAGAGCGGACAAAGCTCCGATTGAAAGTTTCGAGTCGTCAGAAAGGGCAACTTCAACTAATTTGGTGTCGAACTTCTTGAAATCAGGTATATACATGATTCTGCTTGCAGCATCTATCATGTAAATTGTAGATTGAAGAAGTTTCGGATCTGATAATTTAATTGTGTTGTCAATATAAGCTTTGAAGTAGCCAGCCGCATTTAGCTTTGGTATGAGGTTCTTTGGTATAGAAAGCTTGTCAATCATCATAGATGTAAATGAGATGGTTGTCATATTAAGGGTCTGAGCAAGAAGAGCCAGCCAATCAGGAAGTTGGCGGACATGAGCGATGTAAGGCCGGTATTCTGTATGGCACATAATGATCGCCATTAAAATCATCGCTTTATCTAGAGGAAGACGACCATCGATAAGCCAAGTCGCTACGTAATCTGGGAAGAAGAAAGTGAAACAATCGTTCCTCTGACCAATTATGTAAAGTAAAGCGTAAGTTGATTTATTTGTCGAACAAAGAGTGATTAATTGGTCAATTATCTGTGGTGTGAAGGCGAATGATGATGGATCTGTCAAGAGGAGATAGGAAATGGCTCCAGATTCGCATCCTTGTGTAGATAATGATTTTAATATTACTTCAGGAGCAATGGAAACCTTTGGTATTTGAAGCTTGATCAAATATGAATAGGCTAGATTGGAAATATCAGGTCTAAACTGCTGAATTGCTGCAATAAGGATCTGAACAACCATCATCTTGTATTGAGCGTTGAAATTAGGGTATTTCGTCATCAAATAGATCAGATACTTAATGTATTTATCTCCTGATGTACTCCTGATCATCGTTGGAGCAATCATTAGGTAATAATTTGCAACTTGCCATCCATTCATGTATTGGCCGAAGTTATTAAGGTTAAACGATATCAGTTTAAGCATCTTGTGAGGTGCAAACTGAGTTAATGGTGAAATAAAGTATAATAAATCAGTTTCTATTAAATCTGGTCTTCTTTCGAAGTAGAGATGTAAAATATCGTAAATGTTATTCGTACAATTCTGTTTGTTAGTCGGTAATGTTCCAAAAAGCTTGGATTGGAAGAATGCGTTGAAACAATAGTCTTGTTTGAGCATTAATCGATAACAAGTGTTCAGAATAGCGTTAGATACTCTGCAATCTTCACTTTTATCTCCAACAAGTGCAGGAATGAGCATATCGTAAAATCTTCTGATATTTTCAGGTCCTGTGTAGAGTTTAACGCATAATTTGATGTTTTCGATATAGTATTTGTAATTAGGATTGCCAAGTTCTGATGGATTTGCAACTTTCTGGGATTCTGTCGAATTTTCGGAAATTCCTTGACACATTGACGCGATGTAGAGTGGATTTCCTAATGGATATGATCCAACAGCTTGTCCGGAAGCCTTAAGAGCATCGTATTCCTTCATGTTGTTGAAAAATTCGTCAAGTTCTGCTTCTTCTGTTCCTCTGAACATAACTTGCTTCTTCATGAGCACGGAAACGATTTTTGAGAAGGATGGTCTTTTGTTCGGGTCCTGGTGCCAGCAAGATTTAATTAAAGAAATTAATGGTTTTGGAGTTCCTATTGGGATTGGCGGCCTCTCTCCATGCTGGCAAACAGCAATAGCGATTTGTATGGAGGATTTGCCTTTGTATGGTGTTGATCCCGTAAGTAATTCCCAAAGTAAAATTCCGTAAGCGTAAACGTCGACTTTGTTTGTATAATTGTCCGAATCAAAGAGTTCAGGAGCCATCCAGTGTGGTGTACCGATATCTTTTGTCTTGATAGCGTTTTCATTTTCGAATAAAGATAAACCAAAATCGCAAACCCATGGATAGCAACGACTATCTAGCAATACGTTAAGCGATTTGAGATCTCTGTGGATTACTTTCTTCTGGTGTAATGCGTTCATTGCTCTTGCAACACCAATCATGATGATAGTTCGCATTGTTCCTGTGAGTTCAGGCGCTTTGCCTTTCTTTCTTAATGCATCAAAAAGAGAGCTGTTTGGTGCAAACTGTGTAATGATTGAATATGGCTTTTCTGCTGTCCAACCAAGAAATGGTAACAAAAACATGTCATTACATTCAGCTAATACAGATGTTTCACGAATAAATTCAACCTTATCGCGATCTTCAAGAGTTTCTGCTATCAATTCCTTGATTGCGCATTCTAATCCTGTAGCTTTGTGTGTGCCAAGATAAACTTTTCCAAAAGCACCTTCACCGATACTACGACCGATTGTGAAGTCATCAAGAGAAACTAGGTATTGTCTTAAATGGGGGTTCGCTTCCTCAATTAATTCCCTTGTTGACATTGAAAAAGGTGACATTATAACAAAAACCTGTTATATTTAGATCACCGTTAACTGTTCAGGAATAGGATATAAATGTTATAAAACGATGCTCAGAAATTGAATGTCTTTTCAAAAATGTCACTTTCCAATCGGAATTTCATATAATATTTCTCAATGTTTGATGAGTATAAAGATAATATTGATCAATCATTGTCAGAGAATCAACTTGAATTAATGTCAGGGCAACCTATTATCACTGAAGATGGGCAATTATTTCTTAATGAAATACATAATTGCTTGCAAGAATTGATTTCTACAAATGATGTCAATAAAATCAATGTTATTGCAACATTGTTTGAAGAATATAATGGTGATAAAAGCGTAATTTTTCAAGATTGCCAATTACAAAATACTTTTGAAGAGTATTTGCAGAATATATCAGATGATTTCGAGAAATTAAAGTATCTATATGACGTGTTGATTGATGTTTTGACACATAACCCAGAATTTCGAGAATTATTTCTAGAAACAAGCTTATTTCCGATGTCATTACAGTTAGCAACAAACGAGGACGACACGCTTGCTTCATACGCCATAATGATTATTGAACCTCTCCTTAATTCAATGAAATCCAATCAAATTTTGGAATATCTCGAAGATATCTACGGAGCAATTAAAATTTCATGGAATATTAATGCTGGCACAAGAGAATCTGTCAGCAAAATTTTACTAATTTTAAATAATACTTTGGGACAAAACGATTTACACGATTTATCAATCAGGCGTGCTTGCAAACTCCTTAATAACGATAACTCTTTCGATGTGTTCCTGAATTGCATCAAATTACTCACTAAAAAGATAAAAATACAAAAAGATTTACATCATAAAATTATAGACAGCGATATTCCGAAGATTGTCAAACACCAGCTTCGTAGATTCTTAAATAAGCCATCAGATTTCGAAGGAAACGCGAAAAATGACTTAATGATTTCAATTTTAGACTTTGCATTGATTTCAAATGAACTTGCAGCCCCTTTTACTGTTATAGAGCTTTCCTATTCCTTTATAAAGTACTGTATGAAAGAATTAGATTTTAATGTTGTCCAAAAAGCCTTGGATTACTTGACATTCCTTATTTATCAAGAGGATGAGAAATTATGTACGAAAGTCCTCCAAGATAATGTTATTCAAGAACTTTTTGACTATATTTTGTCTGAATCTTTCAAGTTGAAGATTTCTGCATTGAAACTTGTTCATAGTATTCTTAAGATCAATATTTCGAGAAAAATTTACGATTTATTGATTCAAAAAGAATTTATTCAGAATCAATCAGAAATTCTTGAAGATGAAACCGATGAGAAGTCTGTTTTGCTATTCTTGGAATGTATTTATATGATGCTTCAAGCAGGAAGGAATTTTAATGATGAAGAATCAATTCCTTTCGCTTTAGAAGAATGTGGAGCCATGGATTACTTAATGGACTTGACAGATCATGACAACGATGATGTTGCAGAACATTCCGCTGAACTTCTTGATATCTTTGAACAAATCAATGGAAATCAAGAATGATTTATAAATTTGTTTGTAAATACTAGATTTATTACTAATATTTATGTTTTTTATGAGCTTTATTTAAGAAATTTAATAAAAGAAACCATATTGTCTCAAATTAAAAATGAAAAAAAATAATTTCATAAAAAATAGTAATAAAAAAGGATGGAATGAAATCACTGTTATAAGAAAAAGCTATATTTTCAGTGAAAACAACCTCATTCCATATGAAAAAAAGAAAAATGATATATCCATCATGAAATCAGAGGATATATTGAGTGTATGAGCTACCATCAGAAAAGGCAATGCATTAAACGTTGTTTATTTAGTATATTCCATGTAAATGAAATATAAAATTTTTTTGCAAAGCGATTTCGTGGTAGTAAAAAAATTAGTAGTTGTAAAATAAGTATTGGTAAAAAATAACTTTTTTCGGGAATTTTAGTTCGCCAAAATTAAGTATAATAAGAAAGGGGATTTTTTAGACAAAAGCAATGCTTAGTTTGTTCCCTTTGTGGTATCTCTGCGGAGGAAGTATCCGAGGCCAGCGAGGCCAACAACGACAAGAAGGCCAACGCCAACAATGATTGCTACAACATCAGCTGCGTCCATTTTTTTATGTGATGTGAGCGGTTTCTAACCGGCGTTTATTTCCAATCAAGCCGTTTTGCGATTTTAAGATAATATTTGTATTATTCATTTAATGACAAATAAAAATATCATTTAAAAAACTCAGTACATATTCCGTAAATCTGAAATGTTTTCTCAAAAACATGGCTTCAGTAAAAATTGATGAAGAAATATTAAAATACACATAAAATAATGCATAACTATCGATATTAATTTCTCGAAAAATTCCAAATTTTTTTCAAAAATGAAAATTTGATTTGAAATTTCTGAATTTTTTATCTAATAATATGAATTTTGAATTTTTTTTGGAATATTTCAGCGTATCAATATGCATATGTTATGCATCTATTAGAAGTGTGTTATTGGCTTTTTATGTCAAAAAAGGATAATATTGGATTTTATCAAAAATATCTTTAATATCTAATGAATTTTGGTCAAATATTCGTATTACACATATATAAATCTCACTGACATAGAATGTATATGAATATTCATAGATAAAAAGTCATGATATTCGATCAAAATTCCAAATATTTTATTGAAATTTTATAAAAAGTTTGATTTTAATCTTAACCAATACTAAAATCAACAATCTAATAGATTGTATATTAATATTAAGTAAAGATAATATCATTTAAATGAAAAATAATAAAAAAAATGTTTTTATTCAAAAGAAGCAGTAATGTTGTTAGCAATTCGTAAAGCCTCTTCAGCGAAATTTACTTCTCCGCCTGAAATTGCAGTGAGTTTCACACCGTATTCGCTGTTCTTTCCTCTAACTTTTACTCTCAAAGCTCTGAAGAAAGATTTCTTAAGGAGCATCGTTCTGAGTTTTGTTGTGTCATCGATTTCGAATTCTTCTGGTTTTACGTTGATCAGTGGCATGAAACTGTTTTCATCACCAATAACATTGATGTAGGCAGAACCACTGTAATCACCAACATTCAAAGAAAGCGAATATCTCAACTTCGGATTCGTAACTTCTTTATTGCATTTTTTGCAGATCATTTTTCCAGTTTCCTGGTCAATAATGAGTCCACTGCCTCTGCATGCTTCATTAGGACAAGCCTGGTAAACAGGTTTCCTTGAACTCGGCATATCTTGGATCATCACATTTACACAAAAAACTTCTCCGTTTTCTGTTCTACACATTTGTTTCTCATCAATCTCCGATAAACAATTAATCGTTGCTGCTTGTCCGTAATCAGGAATCAACAATTTTTGTTTCAAATTTTCCTTTTTTTCGTCATTCAACGATTCATACCAATTTCTAATGTTCTTCACATCATTATCCGGCGGATTTACAACGATTGTTGCACTCTGTCCGACGTTTAATGAAACACCGCGAAAATCACTAACTGTCACGTTTCTTACACAAAAAATTTCAGATTCTTTTTGGTCGAATTCTGTAGCTGATGATCCCCATAATGTAACTTCTATTGTACCTGTTTCATCTGATACAGTGATGTTCCTTTTCTCGATAGAAGAGCCACTTTTGGTCTTAATTGTCTGACAATCACCAATAAAAGTAATAATTGAAATGATGTCAACAGTTTTACCTGTCATTTTCGAGCAATCACTGATCTTGGTGAATTTCAGGACATTTGCAGGGATAGAATTGTCATCTGGGATTTCAATGATCGATGAAGTCGAATCGAAAGTGATTTCGAACTCCGATTTTGTGGAATTGTATCTTTCGTTCGCTTTCTTCACTCTTCCACATGATACTTTGTAAACTTTGTCTTGTTCAACGAGATTTTCGAATTTCTCCGCTTCTTGGTTGAAGAAAGTTCCTTTGATTTCGTCATTGTTCTTATCCCTCATGATGATAGAGAACAATTTGCCTGGACGAGATCCTTGGAACTGTCTCATTTGAGATTTCGAAATTATTCTGACAATTAATGACCACGACGTGAGATACTGGTTCAAGCTTGCGATGGGGATGTTCGTGGTCATCTGCATTGTCGATTGGTTGCTTCTGGTCGGAGATACTGTCATCTTGACTTTTGAGGGGGAGTTCGTGACTGAAGCAGGGGAAGCAGTGATGGTTCCTCTTTGAGGAGATGTCATGGGCGCTGAGAGATCTGGCTTTGGTATGTCATTACGATCAATTTGTAAGGCAAGGGGTTTTCCAATGATACTGTTCATTTCCTTGTGTAGTTCGGCATTGAGAACAATAAGAGGCTGCTTTGAGTTGTTTGAAACTGTGTATTTTAATAATTTTATTAAACTGTTCCTCTGAATGACCTTGTTCTCAATCAGATCTTTGAGTTTGCTACCAAGCATCGCAGGAATGAAGTGAGTTCCATCAGAAAGAGCAGCACGATATAAATCATGCTGATTGCATTCTTTTATCTGGACAACTTGCACAATGGGCTCCATAACATTGACTTTCTTCACAAGGATATCCTCTAGAACATTCGAAGTTACTTCCATGAAACTAAAATGAAACAAAAAAAAAATTTTTTTATCGTCCAACTTCCCTTTTCTTTTCAAATCAACTTCCCTGGGGAACCTGAAATCGTTATATTGAGAAATAAGGAATGAAAGCTACCTTTCTTGAAAGAATCGAAAAAGGGATATTTACGTATTGATAACAATCCATAAAACACAGTTTTTATCAAATCAATTTTTAAATCTTCATTTTATTCATGATCAAAAATGATTTACTCAATACATTTATCACATAAAATCATACCATGCAATCATTTTTCAAAAATGAGTTTGATTTTTATGAGATAATAATTTTCTATAAAATAACCGCAAATTGAATTCAAATTTATTTTGTTTCGAAACTCTAACAAACAAATCAAATCAATAAGAATAGGTTATCCTTAAATATTGTCCCACTCTTAAAACCGATCAGACCTCTGAAATAGCAATTACAATAATTGAATAAATAGAATCTTTCACATAATATCATTAAAACCTTATAACCCCAAATAATTCAATTTGAATTCTGAGTAATTCAAAAGATATTTCAAATGATTTTTTCGCTCATACTCATTCGTTTCGAGAAACTGGAGCAACGAACAAGGATGGATGTGTGCTCAAAGTTCAAAAAAGAAGTTTATAGCGTCAAATATCAAGATGGAGCCTATCCAGATCAAAATGGAACATGTTCTCAGCCTACTTATGATAAGGCGACCGATGACACACGTGCTCTTATAGAGCTCAACTGTACGCGATGGCTTGTTGGATTTGATACAAAAACCGAATTAACAAATGATTATGATGACCAAGTAATACAATGTGCAATGAATTGTGCAGCAAATGGAAGGTTGAGCCATTACCCAGAATCAAATTCCTCATGTTATACGCCAGCAGCGTATGCAGGGTGTAGTACATCAAATCTTGCAGCAAGCTCTGGATATCTTAATGCTGCAACAGCACTTCAGCAACTTATTGATGACCAAGGTGGTAATAACTTAGAAGTAGGTCACAGAAGATGGATTTTATACAGTGGCCTGACAAAAACTACATTTGGAGGAGCCTACAATTCAGAGGCATTTTTATCGAATGCTGTAGCCCAAAAAGTTATATTTGATGATTCTGAATCAGGTAAGCAATTAACTTTTACAGCATATCCTCCACCTGGATACTTCCCAGCACAGTTCGTATACAGCAGATTTAGTTTTTGGGCTCCTGGTATTCCTTTGGGTGCTGATGTGAACGTTACAGTTAAAATCAACGATGTTCCTCAAAACTTAAGCGAGTTTCATATATTTACAGAAGGCGGCGTTGGAGATTATAGTGGAGGTGCAATGTTTGCCATGGAAAAGTATCCATATATTTCAGATATCGTTAACAAAAGAATTGATGTTCAAGTGACATACAAAACTACAGTTTACGATTACACTATATATCCTATTGACTGTAGTGATAAACCAATGCGAACTCCAGTTCCAACTGCCGAAGGTGACAAATACAACAGTCAAGATATCGGAGAAGCTCCGAAAAAGCAGCGTCAAAAGAAAGTTGCCATTGGTGCGGGTGTTGGTGTTAGCCTTGCTGTTATCGTTATCGTTGTTATTGTCTTATTTATTGTTTTCCGTCATGGTTGTTCAATTAATCACGACAACGACGAAACTAACAACAATAACAATGACAACAATGACAACAACGACGATCAGTCTAACAGCGGCGAAAACCATCTTGAAGATGCATGAAAATTTTTCTAATTCTAGCAATTATATATCTTTTTTTCTTTGCTTTTCGGAAAACTTGTTGCGCTTATGTAAATATCTATTTTACCCTCTTCTTTTCTATTCGTTTTAGATTTTTTGAGTAAAATAGATTTTCATTTGAAACTAAATTGATGAATTCATTAAATACGTACATTGAATTTGATGTTACTTTCATTGTATCTATAATTATGAATCTAGGTAGAGTAATACTCATCGATTTTGTTGATCTTGTAATATTCTTTGGTTCATCTTTAAAAATATATCGCATAACAGGCACAAGCCTAGTTGATGGTTTTAATGATATAGTTCAATACCGATACAATATCAGATCAAAAAATTCCGGATATCTTTTTTTTGGCATTTTTCGGAATTTGAATTTGACATTAGTACAATAAATAATGTAGAAAAATGTAATGAGAAAAATCTATATTGATATACCATTCATTCAATTTTTCAAAGAGATTTCATTTTAGTAAATCAAAATTGTTTTGAAATGATAAAATATTTAAATTACTTTATAAAAATTCAATATTCATTCAAAAATCGATTACTTTCACAAAATAATTTTTCTCCTATGATTCCGATTCTTTTGATACGCTTTGAGAAACTGGAACAAAGAAGTAGAATAAGCGTCTGCTCTCGATTCAGAAAAGATGTCTCTAGTTATTATAATTGGACTTTACCATACCCGGATTTAAACGGTTCCTGCACTCAGCCTACCTATGATATAGCTACAGATAACAACAATGCTCTTAGAGAACTCAATTACATGCGATGGCTTGTTGGATTCGATACTACAACAGTTTTAGATGAGAATTTCAATGATCAAGTAGTTCAATGTGCAATGAACTGTGCTGCAAATGGAAGATTAGATCATTATCCATCACCAACTTCAAAATGCTATACGGGTCCAGCATTTTGGGGTTGCCGCTTTTCAAATCTTGCAGCTGCTGGTGCTATTTTGAATGCACCAAATGCGCTTCAGCAACTTATTGAAGATTCTGGTGACAACAATCTAGAAGTAGGCCACAGAAGATGGATTTTCTATAATGGACTTAAAAGAACGACCTTTGGAGGTGCATATGATTCACAATCTCCATTGTATCAATGTGCTGTAGCGCAGAGAGTTGTATTCGGAGATGATACTCCACTGCAGGTTTTGCCCTTCACCGCTTACCCTCCTCCTGGATATTTCCCGGCTCAGTTTGTTTATAGTAGATTCAGTTTTTGGGCTCCAGGAATTCCTTCAAATGCCGAATTTAATATATCAGTTAAAATCAATGATGAACCTCAAAACCTAACAGAGAAATATAGTTTCGCGCGAGTTGATGTTGGAGATGGAGTTGGAGGCGTGATGTTTTCGTTTGCTAATTATATTCGCTTTTCTAAAATTGTTAACAAGAGAATTGACATCCAAATCAAGTGTGCAGACAAAGTCTACGATTATACAATATATCCTATTGATTGTAGTGATAAACCAATGCGAACACCAGTTCCAACAATCGAAGGTGACGATTATGACAAACTTGACATTGGCGAAGCTCCAAAACAAAAACGCCAGAAGAAAGTTGCTATTGGTGCTGGTGTTGGTGTTAGTCTTGTTGTTATTGTTATCATTATTCTTGTTTTATTTATTGTTTTTCGTCATGGTTGTTCACATAATCACGACAACGACGAAACCAACAACAACAACAATAACAATGACAACAATGATGATCATTCTGATAGTGGCGAAAACCATCTTGAAGATTAATGAGAATTATTTTCTTTTTTATTTTGATTTGCTGCAAATAGACTTAAGTTATATTTTTTATTTAAATTATTTATGGAGGTTTATCACAACTGTAATTAATCATCAATCATATACTTTATAGAAATATTTTTATTCTCCATAATCAAATGATTAAACTGAAAGCATAAATGACATATTCTGGCTAAATACACATGAACTGTCACAAAAATAAGAATATTGAAATCGGATCAAAATAAATTTTTGACATAAATCAATAACTTTTGGCTCGGACATAATAAAAAACAAATAAAATTACTTTTCAAAGATCATGCATGAAATACAAGTATTTTTTCTTTCGCAAATACGTTGGAATATGTTTTATGTGACAATCAAGAATTATCAAATATTAACCTTATATTTTTGATTATTATCTTTGATTTTACTTTGTTCAAAATTGATAGAATTTCAAAATTTTATCTGATAAAAATGCTTCCTCTCCTCTTTATTCGATTCGAGAAGCTAGAAAAACGTAGCCGAATGACCGTATGTTCTAGATTCAGAAAAGATGGTTATAGTTTATAGTTGTGATATCGCCGGACAATGCACACAACAAACCTATGACAAAGAAACTGATGACAAATATGCCATTATAGAACTCAATTACATGCGCTGGCTTGTTGGATTCGAAGTTCCAACTGTTATTACTAACGATTTTGATGATCAAGTCATCCAATGCGCAATGAACTGTGCTTCAAATGGAAGATTAGAGCATTTTCCAGCAAGCGACTCCAGATGTTATACTGGTGCAGCATTAGATGGCTGCTCAACTTCAAATCTTGCCGCAAGTACTGGTCAACTTAACGCTGCTACTGCTTTACAGAATCTCATTAATGATTTTGGCGATGGTAACTTGGAAGTTGGACACAGAAGATGGATATTATCTCGAACACTTAAAAGAACTGCATTTGGAGGAGCTTATGATTCACAACATCTAAATAATTTTGGTTATGCTGTAGCACAAAAGACAAATTTTGGCGATAGTGAAATAGAACAAATTCCATTTACAGCGTATCCCCCTCCAGGATATTTCCCAGCACAATTTGTATACAACAGATTCAGCTTTTGGTCCCCAGATTTTCCAAGTAACTCTCCAATAAACATTTCAGCTAAAATTAACAATGAAGTTCAAAACGTAACTTTGCGTAGATTTGAGATAACTGGATATGGAGATCATGATCAAGGAGTAATGTTTTCATTAGGTGGTTATGGCCGTAGCTCATATGATTCTCCATATCATCAAATTGTTAACAAGAGAATTGACATCCAAATCAAGTGTGCAGACAAAGTCTACGATTATACAATATATCCTATTGATTGTAGTGATAAACCAATGCGAACACCAGTTCCAACAATCGAAGGTGACGATTATGACAAACTTGACATTGGCGAAGCTCCAAAACAAAAACGCCAGAAGAAAGTTGCTATTGGTGCTGGTGTTGGTGTTAGTCTTGTTGTTATTGTTATCATTATTCTTGTTTTATTTATTGTTTTTCGTCATGGTTGTTCACATAATCACGACAACGACGAAACCAACAACAACAACAATAACAATGACAACAATGATGATCATTCTGATAGTGGCGAAAACCATCTTGAAGATGCATAAGCATTTTATTTCGGATAATATTTTTATATTTCCTTTTCTTAAATGTTTAGTGAGTTTCTTAATATTTTTTTTTGCTTTTCAGTGAGTGAAAATACATTATATTCTATATGATTTAAAATATATTAAGAGCACTTTATGAAACTCAAATGCTAATCTATTCAATAATACAACAAAGAGAGGAATAGTTTCATGTTGGTTCTCGTCGTTATATTTATATGGTAATTAAAAAATATAAAACAGTTTACAATATCACTGATTATGAATAGATAAATAAGTTAAGCATCTTCAAGTTGATTCTCATCATTATTTGATTCTCCGTTGTCATTGTTCTTCTTGTAAAAAATGAAGTAACAAACAAAGGCAACAACAATGATTAAAACAATTGCTAAACTAACGCCAACGCCAATAGAAACTTTCTTTTTCGTTGAATCACTAGAACCATTGCTCGAGTAATAGCTATCTGAGTCAGGAACTGAAGTTCTAACTGGAACTACACTGCAATCAACCGGATATATTGTATAATCGAAGACAGTCTTATCATATGATATTTTAACATCAATCCTCTTATTGAGAATTGTTTCATATGGATAATCATATGAATTTACACCGTAATCCGAAAGAGAAAATACAACACCTTTATCTTGATCTCCAGCCCCTTGAAGAAAATCAGTCCTTTCTGTTATATTTTGAGGAACATCGTTGATTTTAACTGATATGTTTATAAATGATCTATCAGGAATGTTAGGTGCCCAAAAGCTGAATCTATTATACACGAATTGTGCTGGGAAATACCCAGGTGGTGGATAAGCCGTAAAGAGTAATTTCTCTCCCATCTCATAAGGCCGAAATAACGTTTTCATTGCAATAGTAGTAGAATATTTTGGCGCTTTTGAGTTGTAAGCTCCACCAAAAGCAGTCTTTTTAAGTCCACTAAATAGCACCCATTTTCTATGGATTACATCTTCATTCCCCTCTCCGGAATCTTCGATAAAATGTTGCAGTGCAATTGCTGCATTGTAACCACGACCCCTATATGCCGATAAACTTGAAGTTGCACACCCGGATGCAGCTTTATTTGTATAACAGTTATCGTTTCCTCCAATATAATGTTCTAAATTTTCATTTGCAACGTTGTTTATTGCACACTGAATCAGATGATCATCATATTCATTTGTTATTACAGTTTTTGTATCAAAACCAACAAGCCAACGCATATAGTTTAATTCTGTGAGAGCTCTATTGTCATCTGTTTCTTTGTCATATGTAAGCTGAGTACAAGAGCCATTTTGATCTGGATATGGCGATTTCCTATAATATAAACTGAATACTTCTTTTCTGAATCTTGAGCAAATCTCCATTTTACTTCTTCTTTCTAGTTTCTCGAATCTAATCAACAAGAGATGAATCAGCATAAACTAAATAATTGAGATTGTCAACAAATTTTGAATCATTTGAATAGAAAGACTTTCTTGATAAATTAGGTTAGGGCTACATTCTTCTATTAACGATAAAAAACATAATCTGATCAACTTTCAGAATCATTCAAAATCATAGATAAGTGGTTGATTTTTCAAAATGTTTAAAATGTATTGTTTTTAAACTTAATAATATAAAGTTTTTCAGATTTTATCAGACTTATCAGTTAGGCTAGAAAATCGCAAGCATCTGAAAGGCCTGATTGTATTTATAATTGATATCCTTCATTTCACGTTTACCTTTTAAATAGAAAATTGTTATTGAATTGAAAATTTGAATAGATTATTCCTTCATATCTTTTACAATTTTCGAATCATATTTAGCATTCCAGATGTATTTTGAAATACATATATCTTAAAAATATTTTGTGATCTGACTTTTTGTAATCATCTTTGTCAGACTTTTTCAAAAGAGTTTTGCATTGGAGATGGGCCCATCAACAATCTGCCATTTCATTATTAAAATTTTAAAACATTAAAGATCTGACGAAGTTGATATTTCAATTCTAGTTTTGAATTTAATGGAATGGATATAACGGGACACATATATATTGATCTTAATGTACCTGCATCTGTTCATGAAATAGATTGCATGATGGAGCTTCTTATTGCATAATATTGATTAAGAAACGAAAATATGTATAAAAATGGTTTCTGAGTTAGAGATATGCTTTTTTGTCTAAGAATGTTTAGATAATGCGTTGACTTGCTTATAAAACTTGCTAATTATTTGGATATATCAAAATAAAAAAAAATTATTTGCAGTTATGAATTAATATTAATATTTTATATACCTCCGATTGATATTATGGATAATGTCATTTATCAAAACAAATTGTAATACACCAAATGAAGAAATTTCAAAATAAATTTCAAAGTTAGTGTTTTTCGTCACATATTGGATAAATTAAGAAAGAAATTAAACAATAGTATTCAGTTGTTTACTCACAGTTTAGTATTTTGTTAAGCTTAGTTAGCCTTTGGAGCTTCTGGCTTCTGCTCTGTGGCTGCGGCAGCTGGTGCTGCGGCTTGTGCGGCTTGCTTGCCCTTCTGGTTCTGATGGGCATTCTGCTTACCATGTGCTGCTTGTCTCTTGTTACTCATAATAAAAAATGATATGATTACTTTCCTACTACACACATGTCATAAAATTTACACAGCGGCGATTTTTCTGACATATTCGATTTTTTCAATGTGAACAACTCTCAATTAGACATATTATGTATATTGACTTGAACAGTGTTTTCATGTATTATTTTGATGAAAGAAAATAAACTTTATGAAATAAACGAAATTATGTTCTAATTTTAATATATTTGTTATCTCATATGCACATATCATGCAATTTATTGAAAACATTATCAAGAGAAAGATTGATAGAAAATTCATTTTTGTCAAAAAAAATTTTTTTTTCACAATATATCTTTTTTTAAGTACTCATATCATTTCTTTATAATGAGTAACAAGAGACAAGCAGCACATGGTAAGCAGAATGCCCATCAGAACCAGAAGGGCAAGCAAGCCGCACAAGCCGCAGCACCAGCTGCCGCAGCCACAGAGCAGAAGCCAGAAGCTCCAAAGGCTAACTAAGCTTAACAAAATACTAAACTGTGAGTAAACAACTGAATACTATTGTTTAAATAATAACTTTTTAATATTTTTAGCTTCACATTTAGATTTTATATTTTGATTTTGATTTATCTCGAATAAAAAAGTTGTCTTTTTAAAGTTGTAAGAATGAATATTTCTATTATTAATGATATTGATACCGACATATTTGTCTATACTGATAAGATTTGATCTTTCAAAAATTATTTTGAAATTAGTTAAAAATAATAATAAAAGACATTACAACACACCGAAAAACGAATTTAAACAATAGTATTCAGTTGTTTACTCACAGTTTAGTATTTTGTTAAGCTTAGTTAGCCTTTGGAGCTTCTGGCTTCTGCTCTGTGGCTGCGGCAGCTGGTGCTGCGGCTTGTGCGGCTTGCTTGCCCTTCTGGTTCTGATGAGCGTTCTGCTTACCATGTGCTGCTTGTCTCTTGTTACTCATATCAAGAAATGATATGATTACTTTCCTACTACACACATGTCATAAAATTTACACAGCGGCGATTTTTCTGACATATTCGATTTTTTCAATGTGAACAACTCTCAATTGTATTTTCTATTAATGATGGAATAAGTACTTAACATATTTATTGTTTTGATAAAAGAAAATCGATTTTAATAAATTCATGAAATTGTGTTCCAAGATAAAGATATTTATAATATCGCATGCACAAGACATCATATTTATTAAAAAAAATGCTCATGAAAAAAATTGAGATAAAATCATTTACGTCAAAATAAATTAACAAATTCTCTTGTCATAAGTAATCACATCATTTTTTATTATGAGTAACAAGAGACAAGCAGCACATGGTAAGCAGAACGCTCATCAGAACCAGAAGGGCAAGCAAGCCGCACAAGCCGCAGCACCAGCTGCCGCAGCCACAGAGCAGAAGCCAGAAGCTCCAAAGGCTAACTAAGCTTAACAAAATACTAAACTGTGAGTAAACAACTGAATACTATTGTTTAATTTATTGATTTTCTTTATTATTATTTTTTATTTTCAAATTTCGATTTTTGATTTTCATTTATCTTGAATAAATGCAAGAAGCAGTCTTTATATAGTTGTAAGGATAAATGTTGTTATCGAAAAAGATATTGATATCTTTACCTTCTATGATATAATTTTATCTTTTCACAAGTTAATTTTCAATTATGACCAAAAATGAAATTAAAAGGTATTTCAACGTAATGAAAAAGGTATTTAAGTAATATTAAATTAGTTATTTACTCAGAATTGTTTTGTTTTATAAGTTTAGTTAGCCTTTGGAGCTTCTGGCTTCTGCTCTGTGGCTGCGGCAGCTGGTGCTGCGGCTTGTGCGGCTTGCTTGCCCTTCTGGTTCTGATGAGCGTTCTGCTTACCATGTGCTGCTTGTCTCTTGTTACTCATAATAAAAAATGATGTGATTACTTATAACAAGAGAAACCGATGTCAAAAATTTCTTCTCAATTTCACAATTAAATTCTCAATTATTTTTCCAACCGATAAGTGTTCACACAGAATCAATTTAAAATATGATTAAAATTTATATATGATTGCATTATGTGATGTACATACAACAATATTTAATGGATATTAAGACTTAGCACGATTAATCTTATAACGAGCTTTTCGACGATGCAAAATTTGCCATACAATGCATTTTCTCATACAAATAGTGTATCACTTATGTTGTGTATGGTATTCATTGTAAATTGGCATTTATTGTGAGTCTAAATAGAATAATTCAGAAGATAATCTTTTGAGAGATCAAATAATAAATTTTTTTCATAAAGTGTTTTCACATCATTTCTTGATATGAGTAACAAGAGACAAGCAGCACATGGTAAGCAGAATGCCCATCAGAACCAGAAGGGCAAGCAAGCCGCACAAGCCGCAGCACCAGCTGCCGCAGCCACAGAGCAGAAGCCAGAAGCTCCAAAGGCTAACTAAGCTTAACAAAATACTAAACTGTGAGTAAACAACTGAATACTATTGTTTAATTTATTTCTTATTATTCTCATATTGAATACTATTGTTTAATTTATTTCTTATTATTCTCATATTTCTTTAAAATTCGCACAAAAGAGAATATACAATATAAAATTTTAGTAATTATCTCTTTATAAGGATCGGAAATCAAATCAATTAATGACAGCTGAAATGTCTGGAAATTTAAAATCGATCCTAAACATTTTATAGATGTGAGTGCGCAATGAGATGAAACAAAAGATATTGATATAATACACTAATTATTTAAGAAAAGAAAATATAAAAATATTATCCGAAATAAAATGCTTATGCATCTTCAAGATGGTTTTCGCCACTATCAGAATGATCATCATTGTTGTCATTGTTATTGTTGTTGTTGTTGGTTTCGTCGTTGTCGTGATTATGTGAACAACCATGACGAAAAACAATAAATAAAACAAGAATAATGATAACAATAACAACAAGACTAACACCAACACCAGCACCAATAGCAACTTTCTTCTGGCGTTTTTGTTTTGGAGCTTCGCCAATGTCAAGTTTGTCATAATCGTCACCTTCGATTGTTGGAACTGGTGTTCGCATTGGTTTATCACTACAATCAATAGGATATATTGTATAATCGTAATCTGTTTTTGTAGCGTTGTCTGTTATATGGACATCAATTCGTTTGTTTACAATTTTATAATATGGAAGATCAGCAGAGGATTCACCATAATCAGCTAATACAAACATTATTCCGTTACCTAAATTAACAATTTCACTAATATTCTGAGGTTCATCGTTAATTTTAACGGAAAGCTCCATATGACTGGAACCACTAGCTCCTGGAGCCCAAAAACTAAAGCGATTGTAAACAAATTGTGCTGGGAAATATCCTGGTGGAGGATAGGCTGTAAATGGTAAGATTTCTGGTGATGAATATCCCATATTAAACACTTTCATAGCAACTGAGCCTGAAATGTCAGGTGATTTGGAATTATACGCTCCTCCAAACGCTGTTTTTCCAAGTCCGGACGAGAATACCCACTGTCTATGACCTACTATTTTATTGGTATCGCCGCTGTCCATAATAAACTGCTGAATTGAACTAGATGCATCATAATCTCTAAAGCCAGCTCCAAGATTTGAAGAGGAACATGCAGCAAAAGCTCCAGGTGTATAGCATAATGATGCGGGGGTAGGCTCATGATTTAATTTTCCATTTGCAACGTTTGTAATGGCACATTGAATAAGTTCATCATCGTAGCCTTCTGCTAAAACTGTTGGACGCTCAAATCCAACAAGCCAGCGCATGTAATTGAGTTCTATAAGAGCACGTCGGTCATCTTCTGTTTTATTATAACTATATTGGGTGCAAGTACCGTTTTGATCTTGGTAAGGCGATATTCTGCGTTCTGTACTAAAGACATCTTTTTTGAATCGTGAGCAAACACTCATCCTACTTCGTTTTTCTAGTTTCTCAAATCGGATTAACAGGAGAGTTATCATTTTAAAAAAAATTGCATTTCTGAAAATTTTAGAAATCGTTTGTATTGAGGGTGCACACGAGAGGATCATGTAAACTTCAGAATTTAGAACCTTATTTTTAGGCATTATCTTGGCTACCTATTTCGGCTCGAAAAGCAAAAAATATCAAAAAATACAACTTGACTCCATTATGACCCTTTCATGGAGGTAGTTTTTATCCGCTAGTATTTTCCCTTTGAATCTCTTTACAATTCGAAATCAAATTCAAACCTCAGTAGAAGAAAGGAAGAATCGACTTACTACGGTTGTAATACGAATAAATACATATATTTAATTATTTTTATTTACATAATAATTGTTTGAAGCTCATATTCCATCAAATTTTTAAATAAAAACATTAAAATGTTGAAAATGTTCATATATTTTAATAGGGTTTTGGCACTTTATTGAGGAATTACTACATACATAGTCGAACTGAACTTGATATTTTGAAATTTAAATTATTATATCAAAATTAAAATTTAACTTGAAATTTATAATTATTTAGTCATATTTTGCATAATTCTATGTAGATTTTGTAAAAAATCAAGAAAGAAAAATTTTAACGTGCTTTATTTTTTCTTTTTTATAATAATACATATTATTATATAATTAACATATTCATAATGTTTCACCCTTTCAAAAATATAATCCTCCTCCTCTCAAATAAACGTACATACGGGTGGCCTCTTTTTTCAAAAAATTAAAATTTGAAATTTTGGGCTCAAATATTAGAGATTTTTTTCAACCTTCAACGATATATGTTGTCTATATCAGACCTCCTTTCTTTTTGATACTTAACATTGTTCCTAAATCTTAGCCGTTAAGGCTGTTCTGAAAATATTTTTTTTTTCGAAAAAATTCGAAAAAAATTCTTAAAATTCAAAAATCCCTTAATTCCTGAGGATTTTGGAAAAAAAAGTTTTTACATGAACATGTGTATATTATATGAAGTATATTGATAAGGTAAAAATCAAATTTTATTGCATATTCATCGAGAAAATAAACTAACGAATCCCTCAAAATTGAGAGGGTAATCCTCCTCCTCTCAAATAAACGTACATACGGGTGCACCCTTGATATAGCAATCATAATTTTATAAAAATTATTTTAATCTGATACAAATTTACCCAATATGATCAAGAGGTGTTTTGTTTAGTTCGAACTGTTACATAATTCATGAATACCATGATTATATTGGCTAATGGGGATGCTTATGCAAAATCTTTATCAATAGTGTAATTTCGAAAAAAATAACATAATGATCTTAATGTACCTGCACCTGTTAATGAAATAGATTGCATGATGGAGCTTCTTATTGCATAATATTGATTAAGAAACGAAAATATGTATAAAAATGGTTTCTGAGTTAGAGATATGCTTTTTTGTCTAAGAATGTTTAGATAATGCGTTGACTTGCTTATAAAACTTGCTAATTATTTGGATATATCAAAATAAAAAAAAATTATTTGCAGTTATGAATTAATATTAATATTTTATATACCTCCGATTGATATTATGGATAATGTCATTTATCAAAACAAATTGTAATACACCAAATGAAGAAATTTCAAAATAAATTTCAAAGTTAGTGTTTTTCGTCACATATTGGATAAATTAAGAAAGAAATTAAACAATAGTATTCAGTTGTTTACTCACAGTTTAGTATTTTGTTAAGCTTAGTTAGCCTTTGGAGCTTCTGGCTTCTGCTCTGTGGCTGCGGCAGCTGGTGCTGCGGCTTGTGCGGCTTGCTTGCCCTTCTGGTTCTGATGGGCATTCTGCTTACCATGTGCTGCTTGTCTCTTGTTACTCATATCAAGAAATGATGTGATTACTTATGACAAGAGAATTTGTTAATTTATTTTGACGTAAATGATTTTATCTCAATTTTTTTCATGAGCATTTTTTTTAATAAATATGATGTCTTGTGCATGCGATATTATAAATATCTTTATCTTGGAACACAATTTCATGAATTTATTAAAATCGATTTTCTTTTATCAAAACAATAAATATGTTAAGTACTTATTCCATCATTAATAGAAAATACAATTGAGAGTTGTTCACATTGAAAAAATCGAATATGTCAGAAAAATCGCCGCTGTGTAAATTTTATGACATGTGTGTAGTAGGAAAGTAATCATATCATTTCTTTATAATGAGTAACAAGAGACAAGCAGCACATGGTAAGCAGAATGCCCATCAGAACCAGAAGGGCAAGCAAGCCGCACAAGCCGCAGCACCAGCTGCCGCAGCCACAGAGCAGAAGCCAGAAGCTCCAAAGGCTAACTAAGCTTAACAAAATACTAAACTGTGAGTAAACAACTGAATACTATTGTTTAAATTATTGATTTTTATATTTTTTATTAATATTGGTTTTTATTATCTGATGCTTGATTGACTTAAATGCGATAATATAGTAAAGCATTACCAATATTGCTATTCTCACAAAACATGGATGCATATTTTCGTTAAATATTGAAATATAGTAGACAAATTTAGGTTAATTATTATAATTTTATATTTAAACTAGAAACCGTATATGAACAACAATAGAAAAACTGTAAGTGAATAAAATGATGATTACATTCGCTTAATTGATATACTTTGAGAAAATAAAAAAATGAAATCAGAAAAAGAATAATCGATTTAAATAATATTAAATTAGTATTTTACTTACAATTTAGTATTTTGTGAAGTCTAGTTAGCCTTTGGAGCTTCTGGCTTCTGCTCTGTGGCTGCGGCAGCTGGTGCTGCGGCTTGTGCGGCTTGCTTGCCCTTCTGGTTCTGATGAGCGTTCTGCTTACCATGTGCTGCTTGTCTCTTGTTACTCATAACAAAAAATGATATGATTACTTAAAAAAAGATATATTGTGAAAAAAAATTTTTTTTTGACAAAAATGAAATTTCTATCAATCTTTCTCTTGATAATGTTTTCAATAAATTGCATGATATGTGCATATGAGATAACAAATATATTAAAATTAGAACATAATTTCGTTTATTTCATAAAGTTTATTTTCTTTCATCAAAATAATACATGAAAACACTGTTCAAGTCAATATACATAATATGTCTAATTGAGAGTTGTTCACATTGAAAAAAATCGAATATGTCAGAAAAATCGCCGCTGTGTAAATTTTATGACATGTGTGTAGTAGGAAAGTAATCATATCATTTCTTTATAATGAGTAACAAGAGACAAGCAGCACATGGTAAGCAGAATGCCCATCAGAACCAGAAGGGCAAGCAAGCCGCACAAGCCGCAGCACCAGCTGCCGCAGCCACAGAGCAGAAGCCAGAAGCTCCAAAGGCTAACTAAGCTTAACAAAATACTAAACTGTGAGTAAAATATTAATTTAATATTATTTAAATACTTTTTTCAATACGTTGAAATACATTTTATTTGTTTTTTGTCATAATTAAAAATTAATTTGTTAAAAGATTAAATTATATCATGATAGACAAATATACCAGTATCAATATCATTAATAATAGAAATATTTATTCTTTCAACTTTAGGAAGACAACATCTTTATTATAGATAAATCAGAATCAAAATCTAAAATCTAAATATGAAGCTAAAAATATTAAAAAGCTATTATTTAAACAATAGTATTCAATAAGCAGAGTACTGTCTCTTTACTCCGATCAGAAATAAAATCAAATTTATGACAGTTGAAATGTCTGGGAATTTAAAATCAATCTTAACATTACATATGTGTGAATGCACTATTAGATGAAACAAAAGATAATGATTCAAAACATAAAACATTTAAGAAAAGAAAATCTAAAAATATCATCCGAAATATCATAGATCTTTTATAAATAGGTCTAATGCTTATGCATCTTCAAGATGGTTTTCGCCACTCTCAGAATGATCATCGTTGTTGTCATTGTTATTGTTGTTGTTAGTTTCGTCGTTGTCGTGATTATGTGAACAGCCATGACGAAAAACAATAAATAAAACAAGAATAATGATAACAATAACAACAAGACTAACACCAACACCGGCACCAATAGCAACTTTCTTCTGGCGTTTTTGTTTTGGAGCTTCGCCAATGTCAAGTTTGTCATAATCGTCACCTTCGATTGTTGGAACTGGTGTTCGCATTGGTTTATCACTACAATCAATAGGATATATTGTATAATCGTAATCTGTTTTTGTAGCGTTGTCTGTTATATGGACATCAATTCGTTTGTTTACAATTTTATAATATGGAAGATCAGCAGAGAATTCACCATAATCAGCTAATACAAACATCATTCCTCTACCCAAATAATAAATTTCACTAATATTTTGAGGAGAATCATTAATTTTAACGGAAAGCTCCAAATTATTGCCAGAACTAATATCATGAGCCCAAAAACTAAAGCGATTGTATACAAATTGTGCTGGAAAATATCCTGGTGGAGGGTATGCTACAAATGGTAAGATTTCTGATGGAAAAATACCCATTCCACTCACTTTCATTGCAACAGATGCTGAAATGCCAGGTGATTTGGAATTATAAGCTCCTCCAAATGCTGCCTTTCCAAGATCATACGAAAAAACCCACTGTCTATGACCTACCATCTTATTTTTATCACCATTATCCATAATAAAATGTTGAACTGAATCAGCTGCATCGTAATCTCTAAAGCCAGCTCCAAAATTTGAAGAGGAGCATCCATCTTCAGCTTTGGATGTATAGCAATTGATTCTGAGTTAGGGTTGTGATTTAATTTTCCATTTGCAACGTTTGTAATGGCACATTGAATAAGTTCATCATCGTAGCCTTCTGCTAAAACTGTTGGACGCTCAAATCCAACAAGCCAGCGCATGTAATTGAGTTCTATAAGAGCACGTCGGTCATCTTCTGTTTTATTATAACTATATTGGGTGCAAGTACCGTTTTGATCTTGGTAAGGCGATATTCTGCGTTCTGTACTAAAGACATCTTTTTTGAATCGTGAGCAAACACTCATCCTACTTCGTTTTTCTAGTTTCTCAAATCGGATTAACAGGAAAGTTATCATTTTTAAAAAATTACATTTCTGAATCCTCACAATTTTGAATTTGTCGTAAATCATCGAAAGGAGTTATATTTGTTTGAATTATATCTTTTTTTTATTGTTCGGATCAGATAAAATCAATTTTACTCATAGAATGTTTTATTTAGTTGCAAGATGTTTAAAAATCCATGAATACGTCTTTGTTATTTTTGATTATGCTATTTATGTAATAGATAAGATGCATCATATTTTGTTTCTCTGAATTTACATAATGAACTTATTTCCAAAAACGAAAAAGATCACATGGTAAGCAGAACGCCCATCAGAACCAGAAGGGCAAGCAAGCCGCACAAGCCGCAGCACCAGCTGCTGCAGCCACAGAGCAGAAGCCAGAAGCTCCAAAGGCTAACTAAGCTTAACAAAATACTAAACTGTGAGTAAACAACTGAATACTATTGTTTAAATTATTTCTTATTTTATCCAATGTGTGACGAAAAACACTAACTTTGAAATTTATTTTGAAATTTCTTCATTCAGTGTATTACAATTTGTTTTGATAAATGACATTATCTATAATATCAATCAAAAGTATAAAAATTATTAATATTAATTCATAATTGCAAATAATTTTTTTTTATTTTGATATCTCCAAACATTTAACAATTTTTTATAAGAAAACCAACATATTATCTAAACACCTTAGACAAGAATGCATATCTCTAACTCAGAGACGATTTATATACATATTTTCGTTTCTTAATCAATATTATTCAATAAGATGCTCAACCATGTGATCTTTTTCGTTTTTGGAATAAAGTTCATTAGAACTAATGATCACATCTAGTGTTAAATCCTATTTTGCTTTAATATGCCATCATGACAAATCTGACAATAATGGTTTGAAACAAACACTTCACATGTTTGAACTTTATAAATAAACTTTGAACATATACTGGGATTACAACACTACGTTTGAAAAACGTGAATAAAACTCAGAAATCAATACCCTATTCAAAACGTTTATACATACAAATATCATAAATTTCACTCTGCATCATGAATAATAGGTGATATTATTAATTTCATCAGACCTTTCAAATTATTGAGTTATCCTATATCAATTGAAAAGTCTCATAAAATCATAGTATTTTTTTTAATTGTTCAGTATAAAAGCCATACAATAAAATTATGATGGTAAATCATCAAATGATTGATGGTTTCAATTTTTTCTGTTGTTTGATCAGAGTTTATATTTAAATGAAAATAGAAGATTGTAATTGAACTCTATAATTTAAAGGAAGTTGTTAAATTCAAATATCTATAGAAAATAGTTAACAGTCTCAATTTTAATTTTATGATGATTCATCTCTTGTTGATTAGATTCGAGAAACTAGAAAGAAGAAGTAAAATGGAAATTTGCTCAAGATTCAGAAAAGAAGTATTCAGCTTATATTATAGGAAATCGCCATATCCAGATCAAAATGGTTCATGTACTCAGCTTACATATGACAAAGAAACAGATGATAATAGAGCTCTCATTGAACTAAACTATATGCGTTGGCTTGTTGGTTTTGATACAAAAACTGTAATAACAAATGAATACGATGATCATCTTATCCAGTGCGCAATAAACAACGTTGCAAATGGATATTTAGAGCATCTTATAGAAGAAAATTCTCTTTGTTATACATATAAAGCTTCTAGTGGATGCTATACATCAAATCTGGGAGCAAATTTAGGGAGGAATTATAATGCTGCAATGGCATTACAGCGATTTATTATGGATGCTGGTGATGGAAACAAATATGTTGGCCATAGAAATTGGATATTGTTCAGTGGACTTAAGGAAACTGCATTTGGTGGTGCTTATGATTCAATGTCACCTAAATATACTACGACTATAGCAATGAAAGTTGTACCATGGCCTTATGAGGCGGGAGAGAAATTACTCTTTACGGCTTATCCACCACCTGGGTATTTCCCAGCACAATTCGTGTACAACAGGTTCAGCTTTTGGGCACCTAATATCCCTGAAAGATCTTATATAAAAATATCAGTTAAAATCAACGATGTTCCTCAAAATATAACAGAAAGGACTGATTTTCTTCAAGGAGCTGGAGACCAGGATAAAGGTGTTGTATTTGCTCTATCAGGTTATGGAAAAAACTCATATGATTATCCATATGAAACAATTCTCAACAAGAGGATTGATGTTAAAATATCATATGATAAGACTGTCTTCGATTACACAATATATCCAGTTGATTGCAGTGTAGTTCCAGTTAGGACTTCAGTTCCTGACTCAGATAGCTTTTACTCAAGCAGTGGTTCTGGCGATTCAACGAAAAAGAAAGTTTCTATTGGTGTTGGCGTTAGTTTAGCAATTGTTTTAATCATTGTTGTTGCTGTTGTTTGTTACTTCATTTTTTACAAGAAGAAAGAAGACAGCGGAGAATCAAATAATGATGAGAATCAACATGATGATGCTTAATTTATTTTTCTATTTTTATGTTAAATCGTAAACTTTTTTTTATTTTATGTTGAATTTGTTCTGTAAACTATCTACTAAAACACATTTAATGATTATTGTATAGAAAACATGAATTGATGAAGATATTTTTATATGGAGATTTCAATGTCTAATATGTGTATATGATTATGATACTATCACATACACATTGGATGTGGTAGATAAATTCAATAATATTAGTAAATAGTAAGATAAATTTATTTTGAAATGATCAAAGAGATGAAACTTCAAAATCCACATGTGCCATTTACTTAAATATGTAGTGAAGTTTTCAAAGTGTCATGCTGGCCTACTCAATATTAGAACTACACAGCATCATACAGATGGAAAACACGTCATAAAATAAGGTTCGAAATTTTTGTAAAAATTTAAAAATATACGTTAATGCTTGAAAATGAGTTCAAAGAAATCTCCATGATAAGATGGTTTCCAGAATCGACAGTTTATCTTTGTCTCCACAAGAAAACTGGAGTTCATGTTAACATAGAAAAGATTCCACATGATCATGTATTAACTATAGAAGAAGAGCATAAATTATCAGATGAAATCGGAAGAAGAAAAGTATTATCCAATCTAAGCACATTTCAACGAACATTAGATATCATTAGAAAAAAAGAATATACTTGGATTATTTCCGAAAATGTTGGCGGAAACAACCTTTACGATATGATTGCAAATGGTCCACTACCAATGGAGCAAGCTCGATATCTATTTTTCCTTTTAACTTATACAGTTTTAGAATTACAAGGTAGAAATTACGCAATTTTAGACTGGGATCCAGAAAATTTTTACTTTTTCACCACAATGTTTAAATTTACTAACTATAGAGGTATTCTTACTACGGGAACATACGAAAATAAAGATTCATTAATGTGGATTGGCGATCCAAGATGGATGTCACCAGAGAGTCTTGGCGTAGGAGAATATGATATAGTCACATCTAATATATTTTGCCTCGGTCTTTACTTATATGCATTTTTAACTGGAAAATTATTTCCAACAATGCATAATAAAGGTGATATGAGAGTAAATTATTCAAAACCAGACTTATCATCGATAGAAGGCACTATTGATAAAAATGCTTTTGCATTACTTAAGACATTACTTGGAAAACCTGATGAAAGGCCTTCTCTTAGAGCAATCCTTAATCATCAGTTTCTGAAACCACATGTGCCATTCCCACACTATCATCCGCCTCTTGTTCTTGAAGATAATGTCAAAGAATGGATTACATTTTTGAAACATGACCCAAATATTTGCCTTGCAGAGTTGAAAGACTTGAATGTATCTGAAAATACTCTTATAATCAACCTCTCAATAACTGCCGCAGCTAAAGGATACAAACCTCAATCAATGTCAATTAAAAACAAAATTAATATACATAAGTATGTAAAGTCGGACTTTATATTACTTCCAGAAAAATTAAACATTGATTTGGAGATGCCACCACCTCCAGAAAAGCCGAAAAAGGAGAAAAAGAAAGATGATACAAAAGAACTTGATAAACTCATGGACTTTTGTAGGAAGAGGTTAGAAGAAAGAGGTGTTAGAGTTCAGACAATTATTCAAACCCCAAGACCAAAAACAACTTTAATTTAATTTTTTTTTTATATATATGATTGTTTTGTTCTCATTTAAAATTTGTTTGTTTTGTTTGTTCATATTATCTTGAAATGCCTTTTTATTGAGAAATTTCAGGTATTTAAAAGATTTGAATCTTTTTTAACAAAACTTCAAGCAGCGTATTTAAATTTGTTCCATTTTTATAATCAAATATATATCGACATATGTGATTGTGAAGATGGATACTTTCAGGTGACAGAATTCAAACATATTGATGAGAATGCTATGTTTACTATCGATATTAATCATTATTCATAGCATGAATGTTATGTTTCAGGTGACGCTGATATATCCGAATCAATTATATATCACTTTCATATTTATAAACTCAAATCGTTATTAAAGGCATTCGAAGACCGTCTTTTATTGGCGACGGTGAGTTGGGAATTCCATAGGAATAATGATCTAATGGAACTACGTATCCCGCAATGATGATACCAAAACTTTGAGATCAGATCTGATCAGAATATTTTTTATTTAGAAAATTATAATTGTTTAACCAATATAATCCTTAACGATGATTTTACGACTGATTCAAAATTGTGAGAATTCGGAAATTCATTTTTTTTATTTACCCTATGATTTTCTGAATTTTACATTTTTTCTCAAAATTGAGATAATTAAAGCGCTTCTATCTCAATAACCAATAAACATATAAGATTTTTGAAACTATATATAATGTACTATATCTAAAGATATTAGTTATATGTATTAGAAAGAATAGAATTTTAGATTTTGATGTCACAAAATGATTTTTCATTTCATTGGGGGCAGCGACAAATTTGCCCAGCGTCACTTTTTTTTAAAAATGACAACAAAGAAAATTTATTTGAAATATGAGCCTGAGAGGTACTGACTCCTTATCAGTACCTCTCAGACTCATATTACTAGTAGAAGTGGGAGAAACTTTGTCCGAATAACTTATCATTTGGACAAAGTTTCTCCCATTTCTGCTAAGAATGAATGTGTAAGGGCTACATACTATCAATATGTAGCCCTTACACATTCATTTTCATACTGAAGCCAGCAAACTTTGGGATAATGTGAAAGCATTAACCTAAAATTATGCAGCTTTATAAGAATAATAGAAGCCTGTGCAGTACAGATCATGAGTATGTACCTCGCAGACTCCTATTTTTCTTATAAATCCATGCAACTTTATCTTAATTTCAACAAATTACCAGAGGGGTTCCCCAATTTTAAGTGATAATTGTTGCATATGAGAGACTAAACCAGATTTAGTCCTTCATATGCAACAATTACATCCATATATCTGATTTTGCTTCGACATCTTGATCTTACTGAAAAAGTCAGGGAAAGAGCTTCTCCCATTTCTACTAGTGATTGGAGGCTACAATGTACTGATACATAATCAGTGCCTTGTAGCCTCCAATCACTTAGTTGAAGCCAGCAAACTTTGGGTTAATGTGAAAGCATTAACCCAAAGTTTGCTGGCTTCAGTATGAAAATGAATGTGTAAGGGCTACATATTGATAGTATGTAGCCCTTACACATTCATTCTTAGCAGAAATGGGAGAAACTTTGTCCAAATGATAAGTTATTCGGACAAAGTTTCTCCCACTTCTACTAGTAATATGAGCCTGAGAGGTACTGATAAGGAGTCAGTACCTCTCAGGCTCATATTTCATTATCAAAATTCACAAAACTCAAAGTTTTGAATTTTTTACATTCAAATCTGACAGTTTACATTTCTGCCATGCAAACCTGTCACTTTTCACTTCACCTCACTGGGCACTTTTGTCCTGTACTCCATTTCATTGTATCTCCTCACAGAGATGGTATTTGAGAAATTTCTTTGCTGATAATTTATGAAGGAATGATAGACTATTGATATATAGATATAACAAATGAAAATAAAAAAATCGATTAAATATGATACTTCATAATGAGTTTTAGAAATTAAAAAACTTTTCTTTATTAATTATTTCGGAGGAAGTTTAATATGATTGTGGTTTTATCAGCCTATAATCAAGTAACGGAAAAAAATATCATTTATCCATAAAGTCAAATGTGAGATGTTTATTTAGTAAGATATAGCATACATGATTACACGAAATGTTCTGAGCTATGAGTTTAATGAAATAGAGCTGATTTGGCTGTAATTGAATTGCAATACATCGAAAAGCAATACAAAACATATTAATTTGTTCTATAAAACTGATATTGACTCTAATTTCTACAGCCAAACGTTTACATAAGCACATTTTGGTCACTTCCAAATATTACAAAAAAGTATTTAAAAAAGATATGGAAAATAGTATCTTATGCATATTGTATAAGATCTTAACAATTTTACCGATTTTGAAACTGAATTTGGAAAAATTGAAAATCATTTAGATCTGATTTCAATACAATAAAATAATGTTTGCTATTTAATAGTTGAGTAGTTGATGTTAATTTGCTTAAAAATGGCGTTTTAATGAAATAGAATTTCAATTTTTTTTTTAAAAAGGCAAAATGGAATGAAATCATTCATGATAATTATTAAGATTCGGATATTTTTAAGTTAGTGAATAAAACTAAGATTGGAATAAGAGGTTAAAAAAATTGTAATGAAGAATGAATGGTTAAATAAGGGAAAAATTATAAGTAGAGGGATTTAGTAATAATATTTGAGGGTTCATTACAATTGGACCAAATATAAATATAAAAGATTAATAGAGATTTAAAAGATTCAGAATATATAGTCATGCAAAGATTATGAATATATTTTTCGTAATTAAAATTTGTTGTGATAACAATAACAAGTGATTGTTGTTTACTAAGCAACTTTTTTTAGAATCAAATAAGATTTCAAACAAAGTTGCATAAAAGACAGTCATTATCATAGAATGATTGCCTTTTATGCAACAATCACTTGTTCTGACAACAATAACAAGTGATTGTTGTTTACTAAGCAACTTTTTTTAGAATCAAATAAGATTTCAAACAAAGTTGCATAAAGGACAGTCATTATCATAGAATGATTGCCTTTTATGCAACAATCACTTGTTCTGACAACAATAACAAGTGATTGTTGTTTACTAAGCAACTTTTTTTAGAATCAAATAAGATTTCAAACAAAGTTGCATAAAGGACAGTCATTATCATAGAATGATTGCCTTTTATGCAACAATCACTTGTTCTGACAACAATAACAAGTGATTGTTGTCCCGCAAGGAACTTAGGGCTGAATTTGAAAAAATTTTTATCATACAATTCACTTCACTTTCCGTCACCTATAACATATCTTCTATCCAACTATAAATAATCTAATAATAATAATAAACTAATATACTAACAAACATTTATTAACTCTATAAGGTTTTTCCGACATAACAATCGACATCCGCTTTTTCTTCTCAATTGCTTAAAAGAATCGTTCCTATAATTGATGGTAACTAATCGATTTTAAAATAAAATAATAAAAACCTTCCACCTGCTTTCTTTGTGATCTGCAGAGATGCTGTTCTTTCTGTCAAAACAGTTACTCGTGAATCGTCAAATTTAACAATCTGGATATTTGCATTTGCATTTTTTTGTCTGATAAAACTAACATAATGGGAATCATAATGATCATCTAATTGATGAGGGCTTCTATCACCTTGATGAACTATAATACCAAATAGAATATAATGCACTTCATTCTTAGTTATCTCATACGGAAATATTTTGTCCATCGAATTGTATTCTGGAGTATAATTCCATTCAAGACAAATTGTAAGTATACATGGAAATAATTGCATTTGTAGATTATTTGCACAAAAACACGGATTCGATACTGTTAATAAAATCTCAACACAAAAGACGGATGCATCACTTGTTTCTTCGTTAATTCTAAACATGTGATCAATTTCATTAATTTCACTTAAAGAATTGATCATTTCACAAAAGAATTCATACGTATCTTGATAAGTGTTTTGAGTCGAAGCCATACCAAATTGCTGTAAAATTTTGGTGATCTCTTCTGTTGCATGTTTTTGTTTTGCTTTAACTTTTTTAGCAATGTTTGAGATTTGCTGACAAATTATGTTGTTTAAGTTTTTATCGATAATATCCATAAATGGTTTTATATGTAAAAGAACCTGGATTAGTGCTATTGCAAAGCAAATATAAGAATCATTCTCAAGTCCAGTCATTATTGAATTATCGAGAACTCGAATGAATGATAAATTGATACGAATATCTAGGTCTGACCGGGCCGATTGATTCGCTTGTAATTGCACTCTTGTTTGAGGTGAAACTGACTGAGTGGTTTGATTCGCTTGTAATTGCACTCTTGTTTGAGGTGAAACTGACTGAGTGGTTTGATTCGCTTGTAATTGCACTCTTGTTTGAGGTGAAACTGACTGGGCGTTTTGTTTGTGAGGCAGTTTAAAACAAAAATATAATGCAATATAAGAATGTGATGATGGATACGTATCATTTAATCTCGGCAAATCAAACTTTGTTTTATCTGGTCTCACAAATATGTTTTTATAAGTAACAAACTTTTTTCCACATAAATACCTTGTATAGGTTTTATAACTTTCGCCATGCTTTGTTGTAACAGCTTGTAAATAAAAATAATAATAAAATGTATCATCTTTAAATTCAAGGTACATAGGGAACGTATATTCATCGTTGTTGTACCGATCAAGTTTAAAGATAATGAATGCTTTTGGATTATATCTATTATTATTCTTTATAAAATCTTCAATTGTTTCATCTGTTTTTAATCTGGAGACAGTTTCTGAAAAAGTTTGAGAGCCTACATTGAAATCAAATCCAAAAACTTCTGGATTTAATATGTTTCTTAAAATTAGTGAGGGAGATATAATTTTATCGAATTTTTTAATGGAATCGAAATTACATCCATAACAATGTCCTGTCATACATTCTAAATGCTCTTTAAAACATTCCTTTAAATCCAATAATTCATCATCTTTTAAAAATAGTGAACAATTAGCACCTGAATAGAAACAAGAAACAAGATT